CAACATGTTCAGTCACCTCCTTGTCTGAAGGACAAGTGGATAAACAGGTTAATATCAAGTCTTGCATGTTTTTTTCAAAAGTCTCATAGAATGTAGGCCTACATTGAACACCACACATTGGCTGCTACTGTAGGCTGAACGATAGAACAGCTATTTCCATGTTAAAATGTTATGCATTGCCTTGCAAAAGTATTCATCCCCCTTTTTCATATTTTGTTGCATTACAACCTGTAATTTAAATTGATTTTTATTTGGATTTCATGTAATGGACATACACAAAATAGTCCAAATTGGTGAAGTGAATTGAAAACAATTACTTGTTTCAAATAATTCTAAAAAATTAATAACGGAAATGTGTGCGTGCATATGTATTTTGCTATGAAGCCCCTAAATAAGATATGGTGCAACCAATTACCTTCAGAAGTCACATAATTAGTTAAATAAAGTCCACCTGTGTGCAATCTAAGTGTCAAATGATCTGTCACATGATCTCAGTATATATACACCTGTTCTGAAAGGCTGCAGAGTCTGCAACACCACTAAGCAAAGGACACTACCAAGAAAGCGGCACCATGAAGAACAAGGAGCTCTCCAAACAGGTCATGGACAAAGTTGTGGAGAAGTACAGATCAGGGTTGGGTTCTAAAAAAATATCAGAAACTTTGAACATCCCACGAAGCACCATTAAATCCATTATTAAAAAATGGAAGGAATATGGCACCACAACAAACCCACCAAAACTCACGGACCAGGCAAGGAGGGCATTAATCAGAGAGGCAACAAAGAGACCAAAGATAATCTTGAAGGAGCTGCAAAGCTCCACAGCAGAGATTGGAGTATCTGTCCATAGGACCACTTTAAGCCGTACACTCCACAGAGCTGGTCTTTACGGAAGAGTGGCCAGAAAAAAAGCAATTTGTTGAAGAAAAAAATAAGCAAACACGTTTGGTGTTCGACAAAAGGCATGTGGGAGACTCCTCAAACATATGGAAGAAGGTAATCTGGTCAGATGAGACTAAAATTGAGCTTTTTGGCCATCAAGGAAAATGTCTGCCGCAAACCCAACACCTCTCATCACCCCGAGAACACCATCCCCACAGTGAAGCATGGTGGTGGCAGCATCATGCTGTGGGGATGTTTTTCATCGGCAGGGACTGGGAAACTGGTCAAAATTGAAGGAATGATGGATGGCGCTAAATACAGGGACATTCTTGAGGGAAACCTGTTTCAGTCTTCCAGAGATTTGAGTCTGGGACGGAGGTTCACCTTCCGGCAGGATAATGACCCTAAGCATACTGCTAAAGCAACACTCAAGTGTATTTGAAAAGGAAATAATCTCCCAAATATCACTATTTCTAAAACAAGCCATAAAAGGTTGGTTGCAATTTCAATTTAATCTTCCAGAAATGACAAAATAAATATTGCAACAAATATTGTGGTTAAACTCAAATATACTAATTGATTAAAAAAACGTTATTTTTAGAAATAAAAATAAAAAAAGGTATAATCTTCGTAAATTATATTATCGGTAGGAATGGAGGAGTTATGTCGCACATGCAGCTAACAAAAACGTATGGAAATGTCTGCTCTACCCAAAATTACAAACAAATAATTGCAGCATTACCTCAAAAATGGAAGAGGAGAGTGGAAGGAGGAAAAAGTAAGGAATTTGTCTGTCGACCTTGCATTAAAGAACATAATTGGTTAAAGAAAATTGTGATAAATAAGTATACCAGTTTCAATTCAGGACCAAAAGATTGACAGCCGTCCCATATACAGTGGGGAAAAAAAGTATTTAGTCAGCCACCAATTGTGCAAGTTCTCCCACTTAAAAAGATGAGAGAGGCCTGTAATTTTCATCATAGGTACACGTCAACTATGACAGACAAAATGAGAAAACATTTTCCAGAAAATCACATTGTAGGATTTTTAATGAATTTATTTGCAAATTATGGTGGAAAATAAGTATTTGGTCAATAACAAAAGTTTCTCAATACTTTGTTATATACCCTTTGTTGGCAATGACACAGGTCAAACGTTTTCTGTAAGTCTTCACAAGGTTTTCACACACTGTTGCTGGTATTTTGGCCCATTCCTCCATGCAGATCTCCTCTAGAGCAGTGATGTTTTGGGGCTGTCGCTGGGCAACACAGACTTTCAACTCCCTCCAAAGATTTTCTATGGGGTTGAGATCTGGAGACTGGCTAGGCCACTCCAGGACCTTGAAATGATTCTTACGAAGCCACTCCTTCGTTGCCCGGGCGGTGTGTTTGGGATCATTGTCATGCTGAAAGACCCAGCCACGTTTCATCTTCAATGCCCTTGCTGATGGAAGGAGGTTTTCACTCAAAATCTCACGATACATGGCCCCATTCATTCTTTCCTTTACACGGATCAGTCGTCCTGGGATCTTTGCAGAAAAACAGCCCCAAAGCATGATGTTTCCACCCCCATGCTTCACAGTAGGTATGGTGTTCTTTGGATGCAACTCAGCATTCTTTGTCCTCCAAACACGACGAGTTGAGTTTTTACCAAAAAGTTCTATTTTGGTTTCATCTGACCGTATGACATTCTCCCAATCCTCTTCTGGAACATCCAAATGCACTCTAGCAAACTTCAGACGGGCCTGGATATGTACTGGCTTAAGCAGGGGGACACGTCTGGCACTGCAGGATTTGAGTCCCTGGCGGCGTAGTGTGTTACTGATGGTAGGCTTTGTTACTTTGGTCCCAGCTCTCTGCAGGTCATTCACTAGGTCCCCCCGTGTGGTTCTGGGATTTTTGCTCACCGGTCTTGTGATCAATTTGACCCCACGGGGTGAGAACTTGCGTGGAGCCCCAGATCGAGGGAGATTATCAGTGGTCTTGTATGTCTTCCATTTCCTAATACTTGCTCACACAGTTGATTTCTTCAAACCAAGCTGCTTACCTATTGCAGATTCAGTCTTCCCAGCCTGGTGCAGGTCTACAATTTTGTTTCTGGTGTCCTTTGACAGCTCTTTGGTCTTGGCTATAGTGGAGTTTGGAGTGTGACTGTTTGAGGTTGTGGACAGGTGTCTTTTATACTGATAACAAGTTCAAACAGGTGCCATTAATACATGTAATGAGTGGAGGACAGAGGAGCCTCTTAAAGAAGAAGTTACAGGTCTGTGAGAGCCAGAAATCTTGCTTATTTGTAGGTGACCAAATACTTATTTTCCACCATAATTTGCAAATAAATTCATAAAAAATCCTACAATGTGATTTTCTGGATTTATTTTTCCTAAATTTGTCTGTCATAGTTGACGTGTACCTATGATGAAAATTACAGGCCTCTCTCATCTTTTCAAGTGGGAGAACTTGCACAATTGGTGGCTGACTAAATACTTTTTTTCCCCACTGTATATATATGCGAGAAACAAACAAACATATGGGGGATTGGAAGTGATGCAGACAATTACATTGATGGAAGTTACAATCTATCTGCAATATTAAAGCTGATCTACCCCCTAAAAAATTAAAAATTAAAATAATAAACACTCAAGTGGTTTAAGGGGAAACATTTAAATGTTTTGGAATGGCCTACCTAGTCAAAGCCCAGACCTCAATCCAATTGAGAATCTGTGGTATGACTTAAAGATTGCTGTACACCAGCGGAACCCATCCAACTTGAAGGAGCTGGAGCAGTTTGCTCTTGAAGAATGGGCAAAGATCCCAGTGGCTAGAAGTGCCAAGCTTATAGAGACATACCCCAAGAGACTTGCAGCTGTAATTGCTGCAAAAGGTGGCTCTACAAAGTATTGTCTTTGGGGGGGTGAATAGTTATGCACGCTCAAGTGTTCAGTTTTTTTGTCTTATTTCTTGTTTTTTTCACACAAAAAAATATTTTGCATCTTCAAAGTGGTAGGCATGGTGTGTAAATCAAATGATACAAACCACCCAAAAAATCTATTTTAATTCCAGGTTGTAAGGCAACAAAATAGGAAAAATGCCAAGGGGGGTTGAATACTTTCGCAAGCCACTGTACATGGCCACTGTTAATACTGTAACTTAAAGTGGGTACAGCCTCAGTGTTAACAGTAAACTCACGCTGGAAGTTGCAAAAATAAATCACAACGTTCAAGTTTTCGCTCAGCAGACCTGAAATTTGCTCAGTGCCTAACATTGCATAGGACACCCACCCATCACAGAGCAGGGAGGTTACACCAGATTCAAGGCAATATTCAACATTTGTTAATCAGAAGGGGACCATCGCGCTTCTCCCAGAAGCTTGCATAAAACCCGCAAATTCAGACAAACAAAAGGTGTGATGGGTCCGCACACAAAGATGTCGCATTAAGCTTACTTCATTTTTATTTTCACTGCATCAGGGATAGCTTACACAGACGTTTCAGCTTTTCAATCTTCTTCAGTGTGTAGGTACAATTGTATTTTAACAGCATTTTTAGGGAACAATCGATGTTCAACGTTTGTCCAGGTCTCCAGGACGTTGGGAGATAACACTAGGCACTCGGTTTTGTTTTGACCCTATCCCAAACCTTGACCCTTTTCTTAAACATTCAGAATTAATGCCTAAACTTAACCGTCGAGTTGTTTCTGTTTTAACCCTATCCTATACCTTAACTTAACTATTCTGAATTAATGCCAAAAATTATGGACAAACGTAGAATACTGCAGTCAGACCCCTGTTGCGCAGAGAGAGAGTTAGAGACTGTCTTTATGCAACACTCCCTGCTCTCCTGGATCATCAATAGTACATGACTAAAACTCTCCACCCCACAAGGAAAGTAAAAGGCATTAATTGCATACTGTATACTCATTTTAAGCACACAACATGAATGCTACTGCCACATACTCACTCAGACTCAGTCTATGGGATGTTTGGAACCAAACGAAATGGTTTTAAAGCAAGCCTGCCTCTCTGTACTATCTTCTACAATTGTAAGACAACAACCATAAAGTTAGCTAAAGCAGAAAGACAAGTGCAAACAGTTATAGTGCGTGTGTAATAATTTATAGAGCATGGAGCAGAGGGCAAGACTTGAGCAGAAAGAGTGAGTCCTATTAGCATTAGCTAGGGCCCACACTAGCATACTGGGGACTAAAGTTGAGATAGAGAGAATAGAAAGAGGGGGATAGAGCGATAGAGGAGGGGATGGGGTGGGGTGGAGGGGGCAGGCATACAGGCCTCCATTCAATTAACATCTCATTATGTTGCCATGGCAGCCAACCTTTAAACAGCGCTAAACTTTCCTATAGAGCCCAGAAGGCTGTCACTTCTACTACACACACACACATACACACACACGCACACATACACAAAAGAGGGGGAGACCTGTCGGGCTTGGTTTGTTTTTGCCACACACCAGCACATGCCTCCCTCACTGAACTGACAACCACCTGTCTCTACCTCTCTGCACGCATCAGCGAGTGTGTGTGTGTGTGTGTGTGTGTGTGTGTGTGTGTGTGTGTGTGTGTGTGTGTGTGTGTGTGTGTGTGTGTGTGTGCGTGCGTGCGTGCGTGCGTGCGTGCGTGCGTGCGTGCGTGCGTATGTGTGTGATGTGTTTTAGCAGGAAGGCCAAGGTCTGGGTTTATCTTTTTCAGGAGGGGTATGTGTGGGCCGCTGTACGCCTGATGAAGACAGACTTAATGTATCTTTGTGGGCCTCATACTGGACAAGCTCTCGTCTTTGACTCCCCCTGCATGATTCATGTCTCTAACCAACTCAGACAGAGTGCTAACAGACAACCTACTGCCACAGACTGTCCAATGCCATAGACAGCAGGGCTCAAAACTGCCACCAAAACACTCGCATTTGTGACTCTTTGACTTGCCAGTGCGACACCAATTCTTTCTTGATCGCTAGGGTGGAAGTGAAACAAATGTATCTGGTCACATTAGTTTTTGGTTCAAAATTATTTTGAATTTTTTTTTATTATCAAGATTTATTTAAACAGTATATCCTGATGCTTAGTCACCTTACCCCTATGCATATCTACCTCCAGTGATCCAGTATCCCTGCACATTGTAAATATGGTACTGGAACTGACCCTGTATATAGTATGCTTACTTACTTTATCGTGTTCTTCTTATTTTTATGTCTCGTGTGTTTTTGTTCTACCTTGTTATTTTTAGTATTACATTGTTATTGATTACTGCATTGTTGGGGTTAGAGCTTGCAAGAAAGGCATTTCACTGTACTTGTGCATGTGACATTAAAACTTGAAACTTGAAATGGGTAGCGTTTTCAAAAACATTGGTCTGAAGTCTTGGTTGAATCTTTGCAATGTGCAATTTAGTCATCATGCGCTGTTTAATAAACATTTCTAAAGGCTTTTCCAAAAAACCTTCCCAATTAAATGATGACTAAAAAGCAGGCCTACCATGATGATTTGTATCAATCAAAATTTGTATAAACTCTGCCATTACAGAGTTGAAGTTTTCCCTGGGCTCTGAAGAGAACTCAACCATCAGCCCAAGACTGAAACTATTTATCATAACGTGTGTCAATGTATCAGTGAGGTATTTCTATTTTTGTGTATAAAACTGTACCATTTAAATGGTTTCGTAGAACTCTAGAGAAGCTTTATAGGTCTTCTTATTCGTCATTGTCAGTATTTCTTTTTTTAGGGCAGTGACAATCGGGTTGTCAAAAAATGTGGACTCTCGCATCCTTACTCCTCCTCACTCCAGTAACGTTCCACGCTGTCTTCTTTACTCTCTCTCTCTCTCTCTCTCTCTCTCTCTCTCTCTCTCTCTCTCTCTCTCTCTCTCTCTCTCTCTCTCTCTCTCTCTCTCTCTCTCTCTCTCTCCTGTCTATCCAGAAGAGGGAAGTGGAAACACAAACAGGCTGAGTCTGCCTGGTGCTTTTCTCTCTGTCTGCTCTTCTCCTTCCCTTTTTTTCCTTCTCCTCTCCTACCATCTCCTTCCCCCTTCCCTTCTTCATCCACTCTTTTCTCATCTTCCCGTCATCCATTTTCTCGTTCTTCTCCTCTCATCCACTCCTTTCCTCTTAACCCCTATCCTCTTTTCCTCTCACCCCCTCACTCCTCCTCTTATTCCCCCTATTCATCTCCTCTCCTCTGTGGATATATCTGCCCTGTGCTCCTCAGGAGCCAGCCTGTGTGTGTCTGTAGAGCTCCACCACTGTCCTCTAGTGGTGAAGACACTGAGCAGCAGCCAGAGAAAAAACCCACATACACAGAAGCCTCACCTCTCTCTCTCTCTCTCTCTTCTCGCTGTCTCCTCTGTTCTTTCCAGGATGTCTCTGCACAAGTCCAGCTCTGAAGATGGAGGTTAGTAGCAATTCAACTTTTACAAAAAAGTACTTCTGTTTTCTGTTACTGTTTCCAGCTTCCCAGCAGGGTTGGAGTCAATTAAATGTAAATGAATGAATAAATCAACTAAAACTCTATTTATACATTGACCATACCCCATTATGTTCTGTTGTGATATTCAAACATTGATGATTGGCTCTAACCCTGCTAGCTACAGCAGTTAGTTGCCAGTATGTGTGTAAAGTGCAACTGCTTCTATGTGTGTGTTAGCCCTCTGTCAGCCTTGGGAGCAGTGAGAGAAAGAGAGTGAGAGTGGGAGTGAGAGATAAAGAGAGAGAATGGTAGTGAAAGAGAGAGAGAGAGAGAAGGGAAGTGAGAGAGAGAGAGAACAGGGTAGTGAGAGAGAGAGAGAACAGGGTAGTGAGAGAGAGAGGACAGGGTAGTGAGAGAGAACAGAGTAGTGAGAAAGAGTGAGAGAAAGGTTTTAGTGCGAGGCCTTATAAAAGCTACACAGAAAGTAAGTGATACAGAGAATCAGAATAGGAACTGTGGTCGCTTGCTCTTCGTCTCTCTCTCTCTTCTCTCTAATCATCTCCCACATCTCTGTCTAAATCGTTTCTCTCTCTCTCTCCTCTCTCTCTCTCTCTCTTTCAAAATGTGAAGGGGATAGAGGGGTCAGGCACAGTCACGTGTATGCACACATGTGTAGACACACACTCCTTTACACTGTTTATAATGATGGCCCTGTAAACAAAATGGTATGTCCCATTGTGTTTCAGTCTTCATCAGAGAATCATTCAAAACATTGAGGCTATTTTCCTTATTTACGCATCAACACTGGGTCCGTCTGAAGGAAGTGGGTGTGTCTTTTGAGTGTGTGTTCTAGCATATTCTGACTGAAGCTCTCTCCTCTCTGTTCCTCCTAGCTAAATGGGACAATAAGAAGAAGAACAAATCCTTCTGGCAGAATTTTCGCAAGACGTCGCAGAAGGGAGTCATGCGGCAGATGTCGAAAGGTATGGCATTATATATTACGCTTTTTTGTACAGTGTGTTATTTTCTTAGAAATTACATAGTGAAATTATAATATCATAGTTATTATCTAATAATTACTAATTTCGGCCCGTTTTTCATGTTATTCCATAATACTCGATGTTATGCCCCAGCTGTTTTATTGACCCCTCATTCTCTGACCGTCTAGGAGAGGACATAGGCTATGTGGCCAGTGAGATCACCATGAGTGACGAAGAGCGCATCCAGCTGATGATGATGGTGAAGGAGAAGATGATCACTGTTGAAGAGGCTTTAGCTCGGGTAGGAACCCCCTCACCCACCCGCTTCCCTGTACCCCCTACCCCCACTCCCCCCTCTCCTCTCCAGGCTCCTCCTGGGTCATACAGACAGACACCCATCCAGGGCCTGGAGGGGACCCCCACCCCACCCTACCCACAACTGACCCCAGCCCCAGCTCCCTCACTGCAACGTTGCCTCGACTGGCTCCAAGTCTACCCCCTCTCCTGCTTCATCCCGCAAGCTCCATATCCAGCTTTTACTAAAATGACTTACTCTAACTAACCATTAACTGCGCTTTCATTATAACCCTGCACTGCCCTTTTTTTTGTTGACACAAACACACCCACACCGTCCGAATCCCTAGCCAAGGAGGGCGCCTGGGGGTCACTCACGGTGTTTATGTGTGGTCCTGTTCATGCTGTAGGGGTAGTTGGACATGTTAGCTCAGTAGCCCCCCCCCCCCCCCCCCCCCCGCTGGTGGGGTGGTTAGAGTGATGCATTCTGGATTTGTTCTCTGGGTGAATGTGGTGGCTGCAGTGTCATTCAGTCGTCCCTCTTGTCTCCTCTTCTTTCTCCTTTCTGCTATTCCTTTTCCTTTTTGTGTGTCATATTCTTCTACTTCTTCTCATCTCTTCCTCTCTTTTTCCTCCTCTCCTCTCTTCCTCCCTCTCCCACTTTGTGGTAATTTTAAAAGAGAGCATGACTCAGGTGACTGCAGTCCTGTAGAGCTTTCCAAGGCAGACATTGATTTTCCTCCACCTCTTCCTGTATCACTGGTGTATTATTGGGTGCTGGTCTGACCTCTACCCTCCTCCACTGACACTCAAACAAACCAATCAGGTTCTGGAATCGATGAACAGCCTCTGTGGTAGGGACGGGCATGGTTATTCGAATATTAACATTTCCGAACGGACGTTAGTATTTGATTAATTGCAAGAGTAATCATTTTTGAAAGAAAAAACATGTAGGCCTATTAATGAAAAGGCTTTGTCTAAAATTAAATGTAATTATTTGTGACATTGCTACATATAAGAATAGACCATGACATTAGACATTTTTAGTGCGCACCATAAAAAAGTAATATAATAATATGCCATTTAGCAGACGCTTTTATCCAAAGCGACTTACAGTCATGTGCGCATAATTTTTTTAAACATATGGGTGGTCCCGGGGATGAAACCCACTACCCTAGCGTTACAAGCACCATGCTCTACCAATTGAGCTACAGAGGACCAGCCTTTACACATTTCACAAGTGTAGCTTGTTATTGTCGGTCAATCAAAGCAGCACTACTGTCAGAGGCTCCTCCACGTGTAGCAAGTGAAGTGGGAGATTTCTAATCAATGCAAAATGGAATTACAATTACGGAATGAAGTTGGCTAAATGAGGTAGGCTGTTGTTTAATATGAATGGAGTTGTTGTAGACAAGGACGTGGGGAGCGCAGCAAAATAGCCTCAATTGCCTTGCTAGCGAGCTGGCTAACTAACTTAGCTGGCTAATGTAGCTAGCTAGCTTCTTTACATCGATTTAATGCAGTCAAGACAGACACTACCAAATTAGATGATACTGTAGATAACCTATCCGAGCAACAAGTGTGTCTAGTCGGTTTTTGTTACTTTCTCTGTCTCTCCCTCCATGTCAGACACACCGGCCCCTGCTCCTCTCACGCCCCTCCCCACCTGTCTGTGCTGAAACAACAAGTAGTGCGCTGCCTCTCCTGAGTCGCTCGAAGTCCCCATTGAAGTTGAAAAAATTATATGAATTTTCTTTAAAACACCTGTGTTTCGTCTATCCGGATATCCGATTATGTTTTTATGATATTATTCGGATAGTGAAATCATTTCAAATGCCCATCCCGACTCTGTGGACAGTTGTTTTGTCTTCTGACCGTGTATGTTTGTGTCGCAGGGCCTCATTTATGTTGGCTTGTGACCTTTGTGTGGGTGTGTGTGTCTGTGTGTGTGTGTGTGAGAGCGTGTGTGAGTGTGTGTGTGTGTGGTGTCCTACGTTTGTGTATTGGTGTTTGTTTGTGTATGTGGAGGGGTAGCTGTTTCTATAGTGAGAGTGGGCCATCATCCCCTGCCCTCCCTTCTCTCTAAACTATTGTTCTCCTATAGCTGAAGGAGTATGAGAGCCACAGCAGACAGTCCAGCAGTACTGACACTGCAGAGTGGACTGACGGATCCAGTCCCAATCTTAACCAGTCCTCTAACTGCAACGTAAGTACCTCTCTGACCTCTGACCTTTGACTGACCTTTCACCTCTCGCCCCCGTGACCCTCAGGATCAAAGCCCCACAAAGGAGCAGCCATCTTTGTGTGTGTGTGTGCATGTTACCTTGGAGTATTTGTGTGTGTGGGAATACGTGTATAAGATCATTGGCAGTGACGTCCCTTCTCTAACTAACCTGGATATTAACTGATGACATAACCCCAGACATACCGCATCCCGCATGTGTTGACACCCCATTCTGTGTGTACACTGTAAAGGGGTTGCTCAGTGGCAACTACATTTCTGTATTTCATATTAAAGTACACCTACTGTAATATAAAAACGGTATCAAAGCAAGTACTGTATAATGTCACACAGTACAATACCATAAAATTGACTGTATTATACTATAAAAAACTAAATGCTACTGTAATCAAAATTAAATAATTAAATTCTTTGAGGGGAGGGTTTTGTATTTCACAGTATGTTCCTGTAATTACAAGGGATTGGTGCAAGCAGGTTGGCTGCTTGGCGAAGTGTTCACACATTACAGTGTATTCATTAATATTTGGTGTTTTATATCACTTGCCCTTCCAAAGGCTTCCAAACAGCGACTACAGGGCAAAACAGACCGAAAGGTCATGGCAAAATGCTCAACCATTTAAGGTTTAAGACTTGCTGCCACTTCAATATTTCCCTTGTCCCAAATTGATGGTGCACTATAACCACATAAGCCTTAAATTGGTACAGCATTCTCACTACAACAAATATAGGCACGCTTCAAAATATGTTAATGAGCCAGAAACAACAATACCATGCACAGGGTTTTCTTGAGGGCTGGGACCGCGGATTTTCCCGGGTTTGTGGCTGTCTAGATCCCTGCTGTTTGTTGTTTTCAATCTTCCCTGTGACCTGCCCTGTTTGGAACTGTGAGGAGTAACAACGTAACCTACGTTGCTAGCTACCATGACAAAGACCAAAGCCAGCGGGAGTACAGTTGTCGAGGACAGTGGTGTCTCTCTATCACACGTGAAGGATATTTTAAACGAACAAAAATAGTTACTACAAGCAGTTGTTACAACAACAAGAAAATAGCTTCAAGTGCTTTGTCCAAATATTGGTGGATTCGACTAATAAAAGAATGGACGACCTGACCAGAGAGGTCCAGGACCTAAAGAACAGTTTGCAGTTCTCCCAGGGTCAGCTCGATGAGTTTAAACAGGAGAACGGCAAGATTACAGCAATCTGTAAGTAATTGAGAGGGGACATCAGTTTCTGTCTGTGAATCCATGACAACAATGACGGGTAAATCACGAGGGACAATCAAGACGTAACAACATGGTCGTGGACGGAATTGCAGAATCTCCACATGAGACCTGGACGGAGTCTGAGGACAAAGTGAGGGAAATTATCTCTAAGAAATTGAAGATGGACCACATGAAGATTGAGGTAGAGCGCACCCACAGGACTGGAAAACCCACCACCGGCCCAGGTGACAGGCCCAGGCCGATAGTGGTCAAGTTCCTGAGGTTCAAGGACAAGGTAGCTGTTCTGGAAAGAGCCAAGAACTTGAGAGGTATATTTTTCTCAACGAGGGCTATCCTGAAGCAGTGCGCCAGAAGAGGAAATAATTTATCCCAGCCATGAAAGCTGCCAGAGCGCGTGGGGACATTGCTTACATCCGCTATGACAGGCTCATTGTCCACCCTCTTTCCCAGAAGCCTGGAAGGGATGAGAGAGCCAAGCCTATGGGTTCGTAGCTTCAACCCCACAGCACACACACACACACCAATTGATTAATGGACTGCTGAGTGTATATTATGGCTTTTCAAACTCTGCCATATCGTGGATTCAGAGCTATCTATCTAATAGAACTCAAAGAGTTTTCTTTAATGGAAGCTTCTCTAATTTCAAATATGGAAAGGGTGGTGTACCACAGGGCAGCTGTCTAGGCCCTCTACTCTTTTCTATTTTTTACCAATGACTTGCCACTGGCATTAAACAAAGCATGTGTGTCCATGTATGCTGATGACTCAACCATTTACGCATCAGCAACAACAGCTAATGAAGTCACTGAAACCCTTAACAAAGAGTCTGTTTTGGAATGGGTGGCCACTATTAAACTGGTCCTGAACATCTCTAAAACTAAGAGCATTTTATTTGGTACAAATCATTCCCTAAGTTCTAGATCTCAGCTGAATCTGGCAATGAATGGTGTGGCTGTTGAACAAGTTGAGGAGACTAAATTACTTGGTGTTACCTTAGATTGTAAACTATCATGGTCAAAAGATATAGATGCAATGGTTGTAAAGATGGGGAGAGGTCTGTCACCATACTCCAAAAAGCCAGTTCTGCAGGCTCTAGTTATGTCTAATCTTGATTATTGTCCAGTCGTGTGGTCCAGTGATGCAAGGAAAAACCTAGTTAAGCTGCAGCTGGCCCAAAACAGAGCGGCACGTCTTTCTCTTCATTGTAATCAGAGGGCTGATATAAATACTATGCATGCCAGTCTCTCTTGGCTAAGAGTTGAGGAGAGACTGACTGCATCACTTCTTATTTTTATAAGAAATATTAATGTGTTGAAAATCCCAAATTGTTTGCATAGTCAACTTACACACAGCTCTGACACACACACACTTACCCCACCAGACATGCCACCAGGGGTCTTTTCACAGTCCCCAAAGCCAGAACAAATTCAGTAAAGCGTACAGTATTATATAGAGCCATTATTGCATGGAACTCCGTTCCATCTCATATTGCTCAAATAAACAGAAAACCTGGTTTCAAAAAAGATGAAGCAACACCTCACGGCACAACGCCTCTCCCCTATTTGACCTAGCTGGTTTGTGTGTATGTATTGATATGTAGGCTACGTGTGCCTTTAAAAAAAATGTATGTAGTTCTGTCCTTGAGCTGTTCTTGTCTATTAATGTTCTGATTATGTAATGTTTCATGTTTTGTGTGGACCCCAGGAAAAGTAGCTTCTGCTTTTGCAACAGCTAATGGGGATCCTAAGAAAATACCAATACCACTAAAGTATTGTCAAAAGGTTTTTGTCGTTCCAAAGATACGGCACGGTACTGTATTCTATGGAGTGGAATACAGTACCATTCGAAATTCAGCAATTATTTCCCAGCCCACAACATTTATTTGCAGTATGCTGCAGTAAAACAGTTCAAATATTTTACTGTTGATAATACCCAGAGTTACTGTATGAATTACAATTTTCCATTACAGTGTAGTGCAGACTGTATGACTGGGATTAGGGGATCAGTGTGGCCTTGAGGGTGCTGATTAGTGTGTGACTCAAAGTGCCAAGGCACCTGTCACACTCAAGCCAGCCAATGTTACTTAGACTGGGGCAGGCGTCATCAGAAGTCACCCACATTCATCTATGTTGGACAGGGCTTGGCTGAATGCTGTTTACAGGGTGATTACTGATTACGTTACTCCCCAATGACTGGTTGTAGTTATGTTAAATCTCCCCAAAGTAAAATCCCCTGAGCTTCCCACTTCCTCCCTTTCCCCCCCTTGCTCTTTTATCCAGCAGTAGACTATATGGTATGCCCGCCCATGCATACCTTCCTCCTTCCCTCGTTCCTCCTATAGCTGGGTATAGTAATCATGTAGGGTGTGTTCAGGATAGGATCAGTGTCCTGATTGTCAGGGGCCCACAGGGCCTGCTCATACCCAGGCTGAGGCACTCTTTCCAGGCTAGGAGAGGTGGCCATATGTGGGGTCCCTGTTGGGCTAGGCGGTTGTATTGTCACTTATAAGGAGGAATGGTGCTGCCTTCTACTGTGGAGAATAATGAATATGTTGTATATTGGCTTCTGCAGTCAAGAGCAAAAAGTGAGCTGACTTGGTCCATGAGGTTTACATCATCATCAGCATAATGCATGTTATAGTAAGCTTTACTGTAGTCCTAAAGATTAACTCTGGACAGAGAACTGATTTCCATCCAACCACAGCCCTGATTCCACAATGCAAATAAAACAGAGGTTTGCCCTGTAACTTTTCCCCCTTCTTTAATTGTAAGCCAGTTCTGAAAGTATATGTCTCCAGTCCAAATGAGCAGCTGTGGTCAGTAGAGACCAGGCCCTGGACCTCCCAGTCGTTTCGAAGTGTTCTTCCAAGCCATGGGGTTTAGTGTGTCTTAGTGACAGGTCACAGAACACGGGCCTCACTGGGAGGATACTGCTTGTTATTGGAGTGGATCCTCAGGACGGATGTGAGTGGTTCGTTTGGATGGGGACTAGTCGTACTGTACTGATGATCGTTCAAATCAAATGCTTATTTCCTGCTGGGCCAAGTCAAGCTCTGTTTTCTTCAGTTTTCTTCCTTGCGGTCCATTAGGCCAGTGGCTCTGTGTGTTTGGGTGTGTGTGTGTGTGTGTGTGTGTGTGTGTGTGTGTGTGTGTGTGTGTGTGTGTGTGTGTGTGTGTGTGTGTGTGTGTGTGTGTGTGTGTATAGGAGATGGACGCACGTGCGTGTACATGTTGGGCTCTCAGATGTACTGTAGATCAACGGCTCTGAAGCAGAACCGGGTCCAGATTGGACTCCTGCTTCTGAAACCTTTTGCCTCACAAGCACACACACACTCACACACATGTTTTGTACTTCTATCCTCGTGGGGACCTAAAATTATTTTTCATGCAAAATCTAATTTTCCCTAACCCAAACCCTAAACCTAACCACTGACCCCTTGCCCTAACCCTAATTCTAACCCTAATTGTAACCCTAACCCTAAACCTAACCCCTAAGCCTGTGTCCTCATGGGGATGTGGGAAATGTCTCCACGAGGGAGAATTTTCCTTGTTATACTATCTTTGTGGGGACTTTGGGGGATTTTAGGTCCCCAAAAGGATAGAAGAACCAACCCACTCTCTCACACACACACACACACACACACACAGAGAGAGAGAGAGAGAGACAGAAACATACAGTGAGGGAAAAAAGTATTTTATCCCCTGCTGATTTTGTATGTTTGCCCACTGACAAAGAAATGATCAGTATATAATTGTAATGGTAGGTTTATTTGAACAGTGAGAGACAGAATAATAACAAAATGCATGTCAAAAATGTTATAAATTAATTTGCATTTTAATGAGGGAAATAAGTATTTGACCCCCTCTCAATCAGAAAGATTTCTGGCTCCCAGGTGTCATTTATACAGGTAATGAGCTGAGATTAGGAGCACACTCTTAAAGGGAGTGCTCCTAATCTCAGTTTGTTACCTGTATAAAAGACACCTGTCCACAGAAGCAATCAATCAATCAGATTCCAAACTCTCCACCATGGCCAAGACCAAAGAGCTATCCAAGGATGTCAGGGACAAGATTGTAGACCTACACAAGGCTTGAATGGGCTACAAGACCATCGCCAAGCAGCTTGGTGAGAAGGTGACAACAGTTGGTGCGATAATTCGCAAATGGAAAAAACACAAAATAACTGTCAATCTCCCTCGGCCTGGGGCTCCATGCAAGATCTCACCTCGTGGAGTTGCAATGATCATGAGAACGGTGAGGAATCAGCCCAGAACTACACGGGAGGATCTTGTCAATGATCTCAAGGCAGCTGGGACCATATTCACCAAGAAAACAATTGGTAACACACTACGCCGTGAAGGACTGAAATCCTGCAGCGCCCGCAAGGTCCCCCTGCTCAAGAAAGCACATATACAGGCCCATCTGAAGTTTGCCAATTAACATCTGAATGATTCAGAGGAGAACTGGGTGAAAGTGTTGTGGTCAGATGAGACCAAAATCGAGCTCTTTGGCATCAACTCAACTCGCCGTGTTTAGAGGAGGAGGAATGTTGCCTATGACCCCAAGAACACCATCCCCACCGTCAAACATGGAGTTGGAAACATTATGCTTTGGGGGTGTTTTTCTGCTAAGGGGACAGGACAACTTCACCGCATCAAAGGGACGATGAACGGGGCCATGTACCATCAAACCTTGGGTGAGAACCTCCTTCCCTCAGCCAGGACATTGAAAATGGGTCGTGGATGGGTATTCCAGCATGACAATGACCCAAAACACACGGCCAAGGCAACAAAGGAGTGGCTCAAGAAGAAGCACATTAAGGTCCTGGAGTGGCCTAGCCAGTCTCCAGACCTTAATCCCATAGAAAATCTGTGGAGGGAGCTGAAGGTTCGAGTTGCCAAACGTCAGCCTCGAAACCTTAATGACTTGGAAAGATCTGCAAAGAGGAGTGGGACAAAATCCCTCCTGAGATGTGTGCAAACCTGGTGGCCAACTACAAGAAACGTCTGACCTCTGTGATTGCCAACAAGGGTTTTGCCACCAAGTACTCAGTCATGTTTTGCAGACGGGTCAAATACTTATTTCCCTCATTAAAATGCAAATCAATTTATAACATTTTTGACATGCGTTTTTCTGGATTTTTTTGTTGTTATTCTATCTCTCACTATTCAAATAAACCTACCATTAAAATTATAGACTGATCATGTCTTTGTCAGTGGGCAAACGTACAAAATCAGCAGGGGATCAAATACTTTTCCCCCTCACTGTAGAGGCACACACTCACAGACCCACATCTTCCAGTGAAGATGGTCATGGACACACATCACAAAAGCTCCATCTGAATGCCCAAATATTTATATGCACATATGTGTTGCCGTGGAAACCCAGCTGCTAATAGCTGGAGCTCAACATTCCCTTCCTTCTGAATGATCAGCAGTCTTGACATCTGTACTGGACTGTCTAGCATTGTTTGCCCTCTCACATGCTATCGCGTGTATGCTACATTTACTTTTCCATATGAATTAGCCAATTGCATCCTTCCGCTCTGAAGACATATGTTCTAGCATGGTGCACCCACAGCCTTGACACCAAACTGCCTGCAGTCTGGCTCTGGGCTCTGTGGACATTCTGGACAAGACCCTGTCATGCTTTCAAACAGCTTTCACATGCAAATAAAGTTTTCCCTAAAAAAAATGGCTTCCTTCAATGAGAAAGGCATGTTGTAAGGAATTGTGTGGAGAGCCAGCTTTAAGCCTGGTATGTGGTGCAGTCTGGCTCTGTCTGGTCTTTGATGTGGCACTGCTAATCCCACTGTTAACCCTCTCCATGCCCTCGGCTGCCACAGGCCTGCTTCCTGTCCCGTTGGATTGATAGATGGGGTGTTCGATAGACGGAGGGAGAGAGGATGGGATGATGACTGGAGGTGTATTGTTCGGAGGAACACTTGGCCTGTCTTCAGGGCCGTTAGCACGCGCCGCCGGAGGGAGGGAGAGAGGAAGTGATGGAGGACAAAGAGCTCTCACTCCCCTCAGGCCCCCGAAACACAGCAGGAGCAGGAGGATGGAGGCTCTGCTTGATTAAGCACCAGTTTAAAAGGGACCTGTTGAGGAAATATCTTCCCTCTTTGGGGGTGTGTGTCGGGGGTAATGTCCCCCGCTTAAAAATGTAATTATGTCATCCCCCAGCTTCCGAGTGGTTAATGGATGTGTGTGTGTGTGTGTGTGTGCGTGTGTGTGGAGCTCTGTGGTCGCTCTGTCTAAAGATCCGTCCTCCTCTTGGCCTGCTCTCTCTTTGTCCAATCTTTCTCTCTCTCCGTCTCTCTCATCTCCTGGGTGCAAAGAGAGAGTGAGAGCCCACATTCCAGGACTGGCCATTAGAGATATGGGGGCCAAGGCAGGGTCAGAGGGGCTCAAAGGCTGGGATTGTTCTCCTCTCTCCACCAGGCACAACGTGCCTTTTCTCTGCTGCTACTCAATAGCACCAACAGCCCGCTCCGACTCACTCCCATCGCTTTCATTCTGCAGAGCTGTCTTCGCCAACAGGCTGCAGATAGTGTGTTAGAGTGAGTGTGTGTGTCTCAGAGTGTGTGTCAATGCTGTGTGCCTGTATGTTGTGTGTCTGTGTGTGCCTCACTCTGGATATGCTGTGTGCAGCGTGACTAACCTTGGAGTAGCTAGGACAGGTTCAGCCTCATGCATCGTGATGCCTGCCGCTTTATGCTGACCTGGGAATGGGATGAGCGTGATTGATTCTGCTGTCCTGAATGCCTAAAGCTGTGAGTAACAAGTCACACTCAACTGCTTAGTATGCTCAATTCGATTTCTGTGTTTTTTCTGTCTTTTTCTGAGGTAGGGAACCGCTTGCGTGTTTGCAGACACAGTGAGATTCCCTCTAGGTTTGCACCCATTTGCAAGGGTTTTACTGGCTATTCTAGATCTGGTTTTGCTTGTAATATGCACCATGTATGCTCGACCGCACAATGATATTTGCAGCAAGACACAAAGCTGTTAATGACAGTGTGTGTGTGGGTGTGTGTCTGTGAGTGTGTCTGTGAGTGAGTGTGTGTGTGTGTGTGTGTGTGTGTGTGTGTGTGTGTGTGTGTGTGTGTGTGTGTGTGTGTGTGTGTGTGTGTGTGGAGGCGTGTGTGTGAGGGGTCATGACCATGTGACATTGTTTCACTGCGGGGTTGCTGACTGCAGCAGCTTTTCACCACTGGTTTATTTCCAGACGTTGGTGTCCCTCAGGGCTGTATCTCGGGGACTATGTCATTGTCACCTCCTTCCCCGTCCCCAGGCTGTTATGTGGCAAGGAACAGATGTGTCTATCTTTCTCTTCTCTCCTCTTGCATTCTTCTTAATGACCCAGATTTACAGTACGAGAGATTCTGCTTATGCATTTCATTCAAATGTGTTCATTGAGCACTATTTGAAGCAAAGCTTTCTCTCCTGTATGATAAAAACCATGCTGCCTCGCTTTCACCCCCTGCTGTCCTCCGGGACTGTCTTGCACATGAATGGCTCACTCTGCAAAAGCAACACACACACACATACACCCCGCAACAACGATGCACACACTTCAACACCCACCAGAATATTGAACCACTTTGAATAATAATATACACACTCCACTCCAGTAAGCAGGTTTATTGTCATGAATCCTGCCCTGGATGCAGCTCTGTAGAGTGGTCACTAGCTGGCACAGCCACAAAGTCATCAAATCAGATTTTAAACCTAACCCTTACCCTAACATTAACCCTAACCTTAACCACACTGCTAATACTAATGCTAACCTTAAATGAAGACCAAAAGGCAAATTTTGACTGCAACTGGCCCAGCTAGTGGAAACCGCTCAGTTCTGCCTCTAGGGCAAGATTCCTGACAATAAACATCAACCTGCCTCCAGTAATGTCCCATATGGACAGTACCTCAATAATGAGCATTAGTCAGGTCTGGTTCCAAACTGCAGCGGGCTGGCTCGCTCTTCTCTGTCTCTGTCTCTCTCCTGTCTCCTCTCGATTCTCTCATGCACAAGTGCGCACACAGACCTGTTATTACAGCACAGTCTCTGTAATGTCCTCTGGAGCAGTGGAAACTAGCAGAATAGTATTCCAGCAGGATGTGTGTGGTTAGTGAAGAGGGAGGACAGTGGGGTTAAGGGGTGCAGGGATGAGGGGGGGAGGCGTTCTGCGGTTTACAAGCTGAGAGGTTGTCAAAAACAAAATGAGAGGGTTCGACCCCTGCCTCATGGTCTGGTTCTGCTGTTGACAGAGGAATGGAGTGTGGAGCACGCACCACTGAGACTAGCGGTGGAAAGAGGGGGCTGATGGGACACCAGAGGGATTTATGGGTAATGTGCAGGTCACGGAGCTCCTATGGTACAGAAAGCTATTATTCTGACTGAGAATTCTGAACTGGCTGGAGGAGTCCAAGGGAATGTGGAGGCCAGAGGTCCTTGCGTCACCTAGAGTGCCTTTAGAAAGTATTCACACCCCTTGACTTGTTCCATGTTTTGTTGTGTTACAAGGTGGGATTAAAATTGATTTAATTGTCATTTTTTGTCAACGACCTACCCAAAATACTATGTAATGTCAAAGTGGAAGAAACATTTGAACATTTGTAAAACATTTATGAAAAATTTAACAGGAATATATATTGATTATATAAGTATTCAACCCCCTGATCAATACTTGTTAGAATCACCTTTGGCAGCGATTACAGCTATGAATCTTTCTGGGTAAGTCTCTAAGAGCTTTGCACACCTGGATTGTACAATATTTGCACATTATTATTAAAAAAATTATTCAAGCTCTGTCAAGTTGTTTGTTTATCACTGCTAGACATCCATTTTCAAGTCTTGCCATAGATCTTCAAGCCAATTTAAGTCAAAATTGCAAAAATTGTGTGTAGGCCAGTGACACAAAATCTCAATTGAATCCTTTTCAAATTCAGGCTGTAACACATCAAAATGTGGAAAAAGCCAAGGGGTGTGAATACTTTCTGAAGGCACTGTAGGTGCCAATGTGCACTCATGGCCCAGTGAAAGGTGTCCAGAGCCAGCTATTAAAGACATCCCTCCCTCAGCTGTTAACCTCAGGCCTGATGTGTGTGTGTGCATGCGTGTGTGTGCATGTATGTGTGTGTGTGCATGCGTGCATTCTGTTTGTGTGTGTGTGTGTGTGTGTGTGTGTGTGTGTGTGTGTGTGTGTGTGTCAGTAACACCAGACTCAGGCTATGGTCTGACCCAGCAGCTCTCATCTTGTTAGCCATCATTAGCACATTAGAGGCTGCTGTTGCCTATATAAATCACTGGCCACTTTAAGAAATGGAACACTAGTCACTTTAATAATGTTTACATATCTTGCATTACTCATCTCATATGTATATACTGTATTCTATAATATTCTACTGTATCTTAGTTTTTGCCGCTCTGTCATTGCTCGTCCATATATGTATATATTCTTAATTCCTTTCCTTACTTAGATGTGTGTGTATTGGGTATATGTTGTGAAATTGTTAGATATTACTTGTTAGATGTTACTGCACTGTCGGAGCTAGAAGCCCAAGCATTTCGCTACACCCGTAATAACATCTGCTAAACACGTGTATGTGACAAATAAAATGTGATTTGATTTGATTTGATGTAATACAAGGCCACAATGTTTCACATGGGGAGGCTGGAGAAGCTAAGAGGAGTTGAAAGCCTCTCTCCAGGCCTACAGTATACAGCCCGGTCAGACTTGCCTTAGCACTAACTCAAGCTCTCTAACACGCTGGGGTGTGTGTGTGTGCATTTGTGCTAGCGGTGCAATCAGCACTAGCTCTGACAGTGGAGCCAGCTGTCTGTGACCAGACCCTGTGCTGCTGTGGAAACCAGGGGAAAAAGCAGCAAATGAAGGGTTTTGCCACAGAATGACTGCAGCTCTGCCAAAATAGCTCTGTGCCAAACTCATCTCACCTCACATCACATGGTGCCCATACGTTGCCTGCCCACACATAGTTTTCTGATGGTTTTCCATGTATGTGTGTGTGTGTGTCGTGTGTGTCTGTGCTGAGTTAATGACGTTTTTGGTGACTTCATTGTTCCCTCTGTTTATGTTTTGCTGTAGCGATTTTTAATACCGTCGTAATGTCCAATTGAACTACCATCCTCTCTGAAATGTACACACACACACACACACACATACACCAGTGTTTCCCCTATATTAATTTAGCAGCGGCGGGCCGCCGCTGCTAAATCGTAGCCGCCACTCCCAAAAATATAATGTGAAAGAAAAAGTACAAAATAGATTGGAGGGTAAAACGTTTTCGGTCTAAACTTAAATGACTATGTAGAAAAGATAATGGAGGTCATCTTTGAGAACTAACAACCACAAGAATAAAAACTAGACAGTCAGGGAGAATCTAAAAATCCAATGCATTGGGCCCCCATTGATTTTGTTATAATGTTTGAGTCACTCAAATAGATTAAGAAAATAAGGCAAAATGTACCACCGCCGCTGAAAAGAAATCCTTGGGGAAACACTGTACACACATACACACTCCCTCATAATGGAGCTCTGTGTGCCTCAGCACAATGCTGCGGAGCGCTCCATTTAGTGGCTATTGGGTAGTAAACAGCTCCAGGCTCATTCCAACAGGCAGCACACAGTCTAGAGCCTGGTGTAGAGAGACACACCACAAATACCAAGCTGCCTGAATATCTGTGGTGAATATCTGTGGTGAATATATGTGGTGAATATCTGTGGCATCTCCTCTTCGTCCTCTACCGTTCAGTGTTTTTGTTGTTTTGGCTTCATTCATGTAACCTGAATATGTTTTTAGTATAAATGTCCTACATAATGTCTTACAATGCAATATATGTGCCCTCCAACCCCACAACCCTCCCTCCATGCTTTCATATCACTAACTATGTCCGTCCTAAAACATGCATCCTAACTGTCACCAACCCCCAACACCTGACCCTACAGGTGTGTTTTAATGGTGTGGTGAGTTTCCCCAAGACTTGAGTGAGTGACCTACAGTACAATGTTGTTTCATAAAGGTTTGGATATGGGCCACTGTGTTATGCCTATGGTTCTGGGGGGTCCCTGTACACTGCAGACAGACAGTCTCTCCCCTCTCTCCCTTCTCAGTCTCGGGAGCAGTCTGATGATGAGCAGTCGGAGGACTCTTTGAAGTTCAAACGGCTCCACAAGCTGGTCAACTCTACCCGCAGAGTCAGGAAGAAACTCATCAAGGTGGAAGAGGGGAAGAAAGCCGTCTCCGAAGGTATGGCACATGTCCATACTAACCCAAACTGTGTATTTAGAATCCCGTAACACTTTAACTATGAATGGGGTAGAACTGGTTTTGCACTGGTTTTGCTCTATTTGATGTTGCTCTCTAATAGATACTTGATTTGATGTTCTTCTCCTCCCTGTAGATTCTTTGAGACTGGAGGTGTCTTCTACCTGTGAGGACAACACAGCCCTGTACACAGGGGTCCTGAAGAAGTCCAGCCTGCCCCAGGATGCCTCCCTGTCCTCCCTGACCCAGGACCAGCTATCTCTGGACGGGGACACAGACAGCCTGACCACCTCTCCTTCCTCCAGCAGCCTGGACACCACCTGGTCTGGACACAAGCTGGTCAAGACCTTCTCTAAGTCCAGCAGCACCCACGGCCTCATCCGGCCCCCCAGGAGAGTCCCTGCTGGGTCTGGGGGTCTGGGGACCGTGGGGGTGGGAGGTAGTGGATCCTCCTTCTCGGAGCTGGATGGCTGTGGAGCAGAGGATGAAGAGAAGGTGTCGTGCTCCATGACGGAGGGCGAGATGCGGAAAGCTCTGACCTCTCTCTCCCACGGGGTAAGTAACAACACACTCTATGGCTTCTACGGCCTCACCCGGCCACGCCCCAACCCACACCCCCAGCCCCACCTCCTCGTTGCCCTCGACGACGTCTCCCAGAGTAGCCCCAAACCTGCCCGTCACCATGCCAACTGGCTCAGGAAGCCCGACCCCAATTACGCCTACTCCACCAAACACCTGCTCTACCAGCGCTCCCGGAACTATGCTAAACCACCTGGGGTGCCCTCCTCCTGCCCCTCCCCCTTGGCCCCTGCCCGCTGTGACCTAGCCAAGGCTAAGGGTGGTACGCTGGGTGGAGGGGGGGGTGGGGGCTGGGCGTTCCCCCCTCGCAGACTCCGCGGCCGGACGGCGGTGAGCGAGCTGAACATCACATACGTGGTAGAGCGCAGCCTCTACGGCCACCTCAACTGGGCCCAGCTGGTCCGACCAGTCACCCTCAGCCGCGCAGAGCGCCGCTGCCTATTGGAGGAGGACAAGGAGGCGGACAGGAAGTGGGCAGCCAGCGTGGACCGCTGCACCAAGCGCGTGCTCTTACGCATCCAGCAGAAGTCTGTGAGTGCTACCGTACAGCGGGGGGATGGGCTACAAGGCACCCCCTCCTGGCCAGGAGGACCAAGGCTAGCTTCAAGGCTGCACAATAACCCTCAGGTTTAGATACAGACACAGGGTTGGTCATGTTCCCATCTTCTCTGCTTTATCCACATAGAGCTTGAATATTTAGAAAGGTTAGTTTAACAGAGGAGACCTCCATAGAGAAACAGAAATTTTCACAACTTTTAGATATGAAAGCCCTTGGCATTCTAGTTCATTTTCATGTGATATGAAATAGTAATGGGATCTGCCGGTTCTGACTCAGGATGTTAACAGTGGTTACATACAGTAGAGGTTTCATAAATGCCATTTAGAAATGTCACCCAGCCCAAACCCTAGAGGGAGTCTCCTGAGTCAGAGTGGAGCAGACAGAGACACAGCTTTGATAGGTCACTGCTCGGGAGCTGACAGACACACACACATTCTCTTTCCTCTCTTCTTTTTAACTTTCTCCCCTCCCTTGTTTCTCCTCTTCCTTTATATCCCTGTACTCAGTAGAAGGGGAACAAAGTATCTGTTTTTCAGCTCAGTGAGAAAGAAAAGGAGAAAGAGAAATCTGGGACATTGACAGTGGCCAGAGGCCCAGCTAGATGATCAGGGCTGGCAAGGCCAAACAAGCCTCCACACATCATTGAGAGAGATGGTATGATAAAGGTGTAGTCAGTGTGTGAAAGTTCAATCACAAGTCAATAACAAAACTAGCATGGACGTTTTAGTGTCGATGGTAGGAATCCTACTGAAATAGTATTTAGATCGACACAGGGAAGCTAAACAGAACTATTCTGCAGCCTTGAAGAAGCCTGAATCCTTGCTTTTACTTGTGAATCATTGGACGTGGCTCATCATCCATAGACATTTTTACCCATCCATTCAGTTCTCGTTTCTGGTTTTATCTTTTTGATCTTGCCTCCGTCGGCATGGCTACAGATGTAGTGGAATTTTCTTTCTCTTTTTTTTTTTTTTTTTTTTACTGTTCTGTGGAAGAGGGTTTTCCGAGTGCATGGCCATTCCATTGAATATATCCAACAACATCACTCCATCTCCAGTCTTCTTTTTGGATGCCATCTGAATCGCTTCTCTTCACAAAACTGTGGATTCCTGTGTATTCCAGAGTGTGGAACTGCGGACATGGACACGATAGAAAACAATGGTCTCAAAGCTAGTTCAATGATAAGATGGTTCTCTCTCCTCCTCAGTAACTCCCTGATACCCTCAGGACTGGTCCTATTGAAACTCTCCCTATCAAATGGAGAGAGATGATAGATAGGGAAACCCCCTACATATCCCTCAGTCTGATACATTATACTCTCTGTGAGAACCTACCTCCCCCAACCTCCCCTCTCCGTAACCTAACCCAGTGTAAAATTATTAATATCTCTAAACAATGTGTGTGTTTCCAGAGTCTAAATCCAGTAACCCTACTTTCGTAATTAAACACAAGGGAAAGTTTGGGTTGGGCCAGGCCATAGTATATGTGTTCTATATGATACTCATAAAGCACCATGTTATAATTCAGCGTGACCACATCTAACCAAATTATTTCATTTAATTTCAATGTTTGTTCCCCATGGCTTTAGTTTTAAAGTAACATAAACTTGCAGAATAACAGTGACTCCAATTCCCCATGGATGATCTAACGCAGATGGTCACCCAATAACTAACATAAATAATAAAGATAAATATATATGAGTTTCATGTCACATCTGTTGCCTGTCCCATATGAGGTCATACCATGACATACATATATAGACAGCTGGAAACGCTCACTCAGCAAGCCCATATATAACATACAGCCATGAATCAACCTGCTGCCATTGTGACTCCGCCAAGCATGAATCATTGTGATTTGACTCTTACTGGGCACGGATGGGAGTTGATGTCATTTGAATAGATTTCTCATAAGGATTCTCTCTCGAGAAGATGGCAGAGTAGAGAGATAGAGAGCTAGTCTCTAGAATAGAAGCAGATTTATATTGCTCGGTAGATTAGAGAGATGATCGTATAGAGAGAGCTATAGCTACTCGACTAGAGAAAGAGAGAGACATCAGACTCCTGAGGCTGAGCTCTCTCTCGCTCATCTCTTCTCTCTCTCTCTCTCTATCTCTCTCTCTATCTCTCTCTCTCTCTCGCTCTCTCTCTCTCTCTCTCTCTCTCTCTCTCTCTCTCTCTCTCTCCGCTCTCGCTCTCTCGCTCTCTCTCTCTCTCTCTCTCTCTCTCTCTCTCGCTCTTCTCACAGAGGACGTGTAGTTTCGGAGGGTTTGACCTGTCCAACCGGTCGCTCCATGTGGTCAGTGCAGGCTCAGAGCCCAATGTAAGTACTAACAGATAACGGATGACTCAGGGCTGAGGGGGCGCAATACTTAGAGAAGTGAACTCAAACACTGAATCAACTATTTTGTTATTTCTCTCCTCTTTCTTTCTGTCTCTGTGTTTGTCCCTCCCTCCCTCCCTCTATCTCTCAGAGTAAGAATCCAGAGGCTGTATACCGGGAGGTAGTCAAGTCTCCCACGACGTCTCGTATCTCTCTGGGAAAGAAGGTCAAGTCTGTAAAAGAGACCATGAGGAAACGCATGTCCAAGAAGTACAGCAGCTCACTGTCTGAACAGGTACACACACACACACACACACACACACACTAAGATCCCAACTTTCATAGTTGAATACATTTTTTTGAATGCTCCCCGTTGTTATTCATAATCATTCTGGGCGTTGCATATGTGTGTGGTTGGATGTGTTTGTGTTGGTTACAAAGTAAACACCCAGCTCTCTCATACACAAACAGATGTGCGACACGCACACACACACAGCTGGGACTCTCTTGGAGCTGTCCACACTCTGGTCTCAGCTCTCTCAGGCCCAGGACAGGACTCGGGGTGTAGGGTGGGGTGGGGTGTATATGGAAGTGGCTGAGCTCATCCAGTGAGGCAAGCCTCCCGCATGCCAGGCCAGCGCTCTGAGACAAGGGGCCTTTGGCTCTGGGGCTGTGTGTGCATGTGCATGCGCATGTGTGTGTGTGTGTGTGGCTCATTCATATCATATGAGCATTCACATTCAAACAATGGACAATTACAGTATTGGTTTTGGCCTGGTATCTAGGCTATCAGAGGGTACAGTACAGTCAAAAAAGCCTAGGGAGTGTCACAACCTTAGACTGCGCACTGCAAACAAGTTCCCTCAAAGATAAATAACAGAGATAGTTGGAACGTCAATGCAGTGACCAAGAAAAAGGTGGAATTAGTTATGAATATGTTGGTTGGAAAGAGCAGGCAGGAGACTAAATGAGCTCCAACGTCACTCGAAAGGCTATTTTACATGCCACGCTGCCATCTAGTGGCTGTGATGAATTACCCTTCAGTAAAGCTGCTGTCATGTGTATGATACTGTATCACGTTGACTGATGGACATGCTGTGAGTGACCGCTACTTATCACTGATACTGACATCTGTGTCTCTGTCTCTTTATCTCTCCATATCTTTCTCAATCTCTCTCTCTCCCCCTCTCCTCTTCACTTCTACCTTTCTGCCCCAACCTCCCCTTCCATACCTCTCCCTCCCCCCTCCTTCATCTGTACCCTCCCTCCCTCTCTCTTCCCCTTCCTCCGTCCCTCCAGTCGAGCCCAGACGGTGCTCCCAGCTCCCCCCAGTCCCCCCAGCCAGACACAGATTCTCTGGAGAAACCCAAACTGAAGGCTGGAGGATCAGTGGAGAGCCTCCGGAGCTCCCTCAGCGGACAGAGCTCCATGAGTAAATTGAGTTGAGAGTGTGTGTGTGTGTGTGTGTGTGTGATAGATAGAGAGAGAGAGATAGAGAGAGATAGAGATAGAGAGAGAGAGAGAGAGATAGAGAGAGAGAGAGAGAGAGAGAGATAGAGAGAGAGAGAGAGAGATAGAGAGAGAGAGATAGGAGAGAGATAGAGAGAGAGAGAGAGAGAGAGGAGAGAGAGAGGAGAGGAGAGAGAGAGAGAGAGAGAGAGAGGAGAGAGAGAGAGAGAGAGAGAGAGAGAGAGAGACTAAGTGCACAAACCTCGACAGAAGGGGGCACTGTCATCACATCTCCCTGGCAACATTCACTCAATCTTCTATACAGATAATCCTGAAGTGACATAACCCATAAATACCCCTTATCAAGCCTGCTGTGTCAGTTACAGTTTTTCTCGATTGCTAAGACACATTTCTTGAAAGCTGCTCTCCTTTTCTCTTAACTGTGAACACAAAACCCAATTTTCAAGCTACATTCACAAAACCTCAGACTCTTCTTGCAAAACCAAACTTTCACCTCAAAACAGTTCAATCTGTGCTCAAAACTGAACTATGTTGTCAAATCGTGCCCCGAGTCAATCAAAATAAAAAACACTACTGAACAGTCACTAAAATAGAAAACACAATGCTCAGGACATGAAGCTGGAGAAATAAATGTTTATTGTTCACTGTAGGCTAAATGCATGTTGCAAAACAAAAAAAAACCTGTGCATTTAGCACTTGTACAAAAAGACAAAACAGAAATCTTGTGCATTTACATGTAGCACTTGTAAAAACAAACAGAAATCTTATGCGTTTGCCACTTGTGTACAGTAAGCCCATGTAAAAAATAAAGTACAAAAATATACAAATAAGTGCATTACTCAGCCACAGCATCATGTCTCCGTACTGGGTCAGGCCACAGGACTTCATCCACATCACAGGCCACATTTTGTCTGGCCAGGCAACGGGGGAAAAAAACCCTGGCATGCCGTATCCAGGCTTGGCATGCCTCCACACCTATGTCACCACAGGCAAGTCCCATGGCTTGCAGGAGATTTACCCTGGTGTAAGGTTGGCGTTCATATACCTTCCACCGCCATGAGGAGAAGAATTCCTCAATGGGGTTTAGGAAAGGGGAGTATGGTGGAAGGCAAAGATTGATAAAACCTTGGTTCATATTGTACCACTCTCTAACCTGGAGGGCTCTGTGAAAACTCACATTGTCCCAAACAACAACATAGATGGGATGCTCATCCTGCTGCCCTAACAAAGCATCTCGCATGTGATTGAGGAAATGAGGAGCTGGTGAGTGTTGTAGGGCCCCAGGTTGGCATGATGGTGGACAACCCCATGATTGCTGATGGCAGCACATAATGTGACATTGCCACCACGCTGCCCAGGAACACCAACAATGGCCCGATGGCCAATCACATTACGGCCTCTCCTCCTTTTGGTGAGATTAAACCCAGCTTCATCCATGTAGATGTATTGATGGGGTCTTTCCATTGCATACAGTTGAAAAACCCTCTGTAGAAATATATATAGTTTTGTAAGTGATACGGAAAAAGTGATTTAGGCCACTACAGTAAATCACTACTTAGAGTAATCAACATTGAATGTGTCTGGATATATGCCAACCTGTACATACTGGAATCTTTGCTCTTTGACTCTGTCTGAGTTGCGATCAAAGGGCACTCTGTATAGCTGTTTCATGCGCAGTCTGTTGCGCTTGAGGACACGATCAACAGTAGAGAGGCTGACACTGTTGATACCCTCAAAATTTAAATGGTCCTCAACGATCTTCTGCTGAATTTCGCTCAGTTTAATGGCATTGTTCTCACGGACCATATCAACAATTAGGGTCTCTTGGTGTGGGGAGAACATACCTGTCCTCCCACCCCCATGTGGCAGTCTTTCAATTCTACAAAAAGAGAACATGGAGTTACAAAAAATATACATGGAATACCAGGCCTACAAACAGTTAGACCAACCCTCCATTACAATACTACAGTACATTGGTACAGTGATGTACTGAAACATATATTTACTTACAGTATACTGTGGTACAGTATATAGTATGTCATACAGTAATTGCTGTCAACATTTACATACTGTACTATAATGTCAAAAAAAGGTAATTACCTGTTCTCTTCTCTAAATCTTCAGATTATGGTGGACACAGTGAATCTACTGATGTTTGGTTGTACCCTTTGTCCAGCCTCCCTCATGCTCATACCATGGACAAGAACATGGTCAATCACAGTAGCTCTGATTTCATCAGATATTACTGTTCTTTGTCTTCGCTGACCACCTCGACCACCTCGACCTCCTCTCACACGAACTCTTCCTCAGATTTCTATCCATTGTAGGGCCTCACAAACCAGTGCTCTCTGAACTGGCTTACTGTATATGTTCCCTCACATCATTAGCCACAAGTGTGATCAATTTTGAGTTGTTGTGTTCAAGTGGTGACACCTGTGCTCTAATTGTGTTTGACTTTTGTCACCTGTGCTCACCATTATGCAGCACGGGTGCATCACAATGAAAATGTGTTGGCAAGTTATGTCTAAACAGGTGAAAAGTGCTTATGGTTTTGCCAAAAGAGTGATTGATTCAATCAGTGGGTTCAGGCAACTGAGCATTTGGTTCAGACAATAGGGTTTAGTGTTTTAGCAATTGAGAAAAACTGTAGTATACATTACATCATCATTGTTATGAGCTTGTCTCCTATCATTACAGCTCTCTGTCACAATCACACCCATTACCATTGGAGGGTTCAGAGATGACATGTGAGATCAACTGGTCCTATCTGATGAGAGCTTCTTCTCCCATAGTTACTGATCATGATCTGACCCTGGCATGTGTTCAGACAGAGCACCAACAACTCTTCTATCTGTCTCTCATGTATTGATGTTAGACTGAGAGCTGTGAGGGCTGGGTTGATGTTTGTTAGAAATAAAAAGTATTAGTAGCTTAGTGGTTAAGAGCGTTGTGCCAGTAACCGAAAGGTCGCTGGTTCTAATCCCCGAGCCGACTAGGTGAAAAATCTGTCTGTGCCATTGAGCAAGGCACTTAACCCTAATTGCTCCTGTAAGTCGCTCTGGATAAGAGTGTCTGCTAAATGTCAAAATATATATGTTTTATTGTCACATAAACCAGATAGGTGCAGTGACATTTGTTGTACGGCGCCCCTGAAACAAATTAGGGTAAAGTGCCTTGCTCAAGGACACATTAACAGATCTTTCACCTTGTCGGCTCGGGTATTCGCACCAGCGACCTTTCGGTTACGGGCCCAACTCTCTAACCGCTAGGCTACCTGTTATCCTTTTCTAGGTTTTTTAGTGAGAGAGAGTCTGTCCCTAGTTGACTGGTGTTGATCTGGGCCCATAGGGTCGGAGGGGCTAAGACACATGCTAATGATTAGATAGGAAGGCTTTGCTCTCTGGTTCCCACACTTATCAACACAAATCAGACATACACAGAGTTGTCTATGGGGAGTCAGCAGCACACTATATACGCACTGGCTTCAAGTGATGGGTTTTGGGTGATGTGTACATCTGTGGTTTGACAATGTGTGGTCTTGGTTCTGTGTGTTCCAGGTGGTCAGACAGTCAGCACCACAGACTCGTCAGCCAGTAACAGAGAGAGTGTGAAGTCTGAGGATGGAGATGACGAGGAGCCTCCCTACAGAGGGCCCTTCTGTGGCAGAGCACGAGTGCACACTGACTTCACACCTAGCCCCTATGATTCAGACTCCCTCAAACTAAAGGTAACTCACACACACAGTCTTACATACAATGGAAATGATTTGTCTAGATTGTGTGTGGCTTTAGATTTGTACTAAAATATCCTGTATATGTTGTGTTCCAGAGAGGGGATGTGATTGACATCATCAGTAAGCCCCCCATGGGGACGTGGATGGGCCTGCTCAACAACAAGGTGGGCACCTTTAAGTTCATCTACGTGGACGTGCTGAGTGAGGAGGAGGAGAAGCCCAAGAGACCCGTCAGGAGGAGGAGGAAGGGCAGACCTCCCAAACCCACCTCTGTAGAGGAGCTGCTCGAACGCATCAACCTCAAGGTATACACACTGGACACACACAGCTTTGCACATGTCACGCGCGTACATACACAGACACACTTGTATAACACACTCACACACACACACACACAGTCTTGTACAGCTAACCTTTTGGGGACACACAATTCAGTCCCATTCAAAATCCTATTTTCTCTAACCCCTAACCCTAAACCTAACCCTAACCCGTACTCTTACCCTTATGCTAACCCTAACCTTAACCCAAAAACCTAACCTTAACCCTAACCCTAAACCCAACCCTAGCTCCTAACCCTAAAACTAACCTTAGCTCCTAACCCTAACCCTTAACGTAATTCTAATCCTAACACTAATTATAACCTTAACCCTAAACCCCTTAGAAATAGCATTTGACCTCGTGGGGACTAACAAAATGTCCCCAGTTGGTCTAAATTTTGTTCGTTTACCAGAAGTCCCCACAAGAATAGTTAAACACGTCCACACACTCTCACACAAACTCCACACAAACCTCACACACCAATGCTAAGATTTTCTGGACAAGGTAACAGTAGTCCTACAACTTCCCTCCTACAGTCCCATTCATATCCCAGCCATCTAGAAAACACCCAGCCTCTCCCGTCAACCACCCAGCCTAGCCAGCTCAGCCTCCCCAGGGAGAGAGCACAGTAGGTGGGCTGTTTCTGGGTAAACCCAGCCTGATGGAGCTCTGACATGACAGATTACAGAACAGGCTATGTCCAAGGGCTCTCCTCTAACTCAAGGACATAAGTACCATAATGGTACATTATCATTGCCTGGGCAGAGCGAGACTATATTACAGGCCTTGAGACCTCCCATAAGTGCTATTATCCTACTATAGAGTACATGTGCATCAAGGTACGTTTCGTCACGTACGTAGTTGTGACTTGGGGAGGGAGAGAGCAGACTAAACAAAGTTCCCCTAACCCCACCATTAACTGGGGACCATGTGAAGACATTATACTGAGACTGTGTTCCACCTTGTTCTGGGTCTGTTTCATGTCACGCTCAGGATAAATTATTGTTTTTGACAAGTATTTATAAAAAATAAATGCTTTGTTGATTTGAAAGAAGTACTAGGGAAAATTCTGGGTTTCTCAGTCCAGATTTGGTTAGCATTAGGGAGTTCAGTTTGATTTACTGATGCACCTTTTTACTGGCGATTGAGTCGAGGATATTTACTCCATAAAGTGACAACAAAAACGAGAGTAAGACACCGTAATAAACTTGCTGACTCATTCTACATAAGACAGAGCTCATTGTTGTCAGGGCGTTCCTTAAAACACAATGACAAAGTGGAGTTTGCTTCGAAGCAGCCATGTTCTCCATCTTTTTCTATGTTCTATCTTTTGAATCTTACATTTCAACTTGATTGTAGGGGTATCTTGGAGCAAACGTGCTTTGGCCTTCAAATATGTTAGGTTACATAAAAGACTAAGATCATATGAGAAGGTTCTTGTGGCTGTGTAGAGTAGTGGTCTTTGGTTTTGTCTCATCATTATTTCTACTTATCCTAGCAGAAATAGAGCTAAAAGTCACTGTTATGCTAAGGATGGAAGTCTCCATAGTTGCAGTGGTGTCATGCAGTCTGTGTGTATTGTACCCTTTAGATGTGTGGGTTGGACAAAACTTTAGACTGAACCAGTTTCCACAATCTCCATGTTTAACGTGGAAACCAATTATGATGGGTTGAAATGTTAATGTTAGCTGTGCCTGTTCCGAAACAAACAGAGGGTGTAGTGTGATATTTTAGACTGTGATTCCTGGTGTCCTCCCACTAAGAGATAGCACCACAGGTTCTAATGACTAGCTTTGTGCTATTGTTAAATTGTGTGTGTATCCTCCTTGTCGCCTGTGGTGGAAAGGTGGGGTAGATAATCTCCTTCACCTGATTTCCCACAATTTCCAACTCTTCCCTCCCTTTCTGTGGCCACATCGATCCCTTTTTTAGCTCATAGCTTGTTTATGCAAGAGAAAAATGCCCTTTGTGTCATTAACAATTGGTCCTAGGCCAGTTTAGCTGATTAGCTTATAATAGTTACAGTCACGCTCACGCATGGGGTAGGAAGATCTGATCTGCAATCGGTTCTCTCTCCTCTCGTCTTCTCTTCTCCAGGAGCACATGCCTACCTTCTTGTTTAATGGCTACGAGGACCTGGACACCTTCAAGCTGCTGGAGGAGGAGGATCTAGATGAGCTCAACATCAGAGACCCTCAACACAGAGCTGTGTTGCTCACCGCTGTGGAGCTACTGCAGGAGTATGACAGTGAGTGCACACACACACACTCACTTTCACACACACACACACTCACTTACTCACTCACTCACACACACACTCATACATACCCTTCGCTCTGTCTGTTTGATTGCATTGTCTATGACTTTGTCTGGATTGCGATACTACATCATTCTGTACGTTTCTGGATGTCTGACTATATTGTCTCTGTGTCGTGTGTGTCTATAGGCAGCAGCGACCCGGAGCGTAGCGGCCTGTCAGGCTCTCAGGAGAAGCTGCTGTCAGAGGGCCACAGCCTGGTGGGCGACTCGCCACGTGACTCTGGCTGCTACGAAAGCAATGAGAACCTGGAGAATGGTAATGACTAGCCTAGCCTCCCGCTAATGGGATTAGCCTGGCATTAGCCTAGCCTAGCCTGGGCCTAGACTAGCACTACAGTGACTGTGGTTCCTCCTCCACTCTGGGACACCTCCTCTTCCTCCTCTTCTGCCATGCTTCAGCATTCTAACCTCAACCGTCCGTCATCGCTCTCCATTGGACCAAGGCCAGCCAATCAAACCTCTCCGCTCTCTATCCGTTATGTCTGTCTCCTAGCTCCACCCACACCCCCACCCCATTTACCTCCGCCCCGCCTAGCTGCGTAGAGTCATAGAGAGGGGAGAGATGCACTCCCCCCTCTCTCTTTCTTTCTCTCTCTTTTTCTCATTGTCACTCTACTCTTTCCACTGCCCTCTCCATCTTTAGGCTCTCTCTGCCTTCACTGCAGAAGCCCTATCCTAAGGGACAAGGCCGTAACCCCCACGCCCAGATCGCTAGTCTACCCTACAATGGGGCCCTATGCACAAAGGGAACAACACCCTACATCTCAAATGCACATAACTGCTCTGCTCAACTCGACGCTAGTGCCCATGTTGCTCTAATCTCACAATGGACAGAGAACTCCTCTTACTCCTCCTCTTCCGAGGTTGAGTGGTTGCTGGGAGACCAGACCAATCATGACACCATGAGGGAGTATTTCTTTTGAGAGGTGGTGTTACTGTAGAAAACTGAGACCTTGTAAATAACTTACCTTGTAAAGTCACTGCCCAGTTATTTGCTGTGGTATGGCTCTGTGTCCGTTCTCCCAATGCCGGCTCATTCTCTCTTCTCCATGCCATTTCAAGTCACTTGAAAACATTTCTGTAACTTATCTTGTGCTTATTCTTTATAGTGACCATGTTGCACAAAGATCGTACATGCCTAAACAAACCCCAAAACTATTGGATGGAAATATTTTCTTAATGACAGTGGATATTTAAAATAGCAGACATACCTAGCCTAGCGCTACAGTGACTGTGGTTCCTCCTCCACTCTGGGCCACCTCCTCTTCCTCCTCTTCTGTCATGCTTCAGCATTCTAACCTGAACAGTCCGTCATCGCTCTCCAACGGACCAAGGCCAGCCAATCAAACCTCTCCGCTCTCTATCCGTTATGTCTGTCTCCGAGCTCCATCCACCTGATTATGGAAGTGTATTTCAGATCTATATTTGTGAGAACATTTTGTGTATAGTTGAGACTACTCAAACTCCCCCTCAAAAATGCTGTGTGTGCACTGCATCGCAGTGCTTAAGGCGTCACTACAGCCCCGGGTTCGGCCATGACCGGGAGACCCATGAACCGGCGCACAATTGGCCCAGCGTCTTCCGGGTTAGGGGAGGGTTTGCCGGCCGGGATTTCCTTGTCCTAGCGACTCCTTGTGGCGGGCCGGGCGCCTGCAAGCTGACTTCGGTCGCCAGTTGTACGGTGTTTCCTCCGATACATTGGTGTGGCTGGCTTCCGGGTTAAGCAAGCAGTGTGTCAAGAAGCAGTGCTGCTTGGCAGGGTCGTGTTTCGGAAGACGCATGGCTCTTGACCTTCGCCTCTCCCGAGTCCGTACGGGAGTTGCAGCGATGGGACAAGACTGTAACTACCAATTGGATATCACGAAATTGGGGAGAAAAAGGGGTAAACGTACAAAAAATATATAAATATGTTTTTTAAAAGACTGTGTGCTTTGGTTTCCCCTACAGTTGAGTGCTGTGTTTTAGCTTCAATCATAATTCATAAACCATTGCTTAAATAATTGACTTCCCACTGGGCACCGACGTCATTTCAACATGTAGTTTTGAGTTGTCAAATAAAGTGAATTCAACGTGAAATCAACAAAAAATGTCACCATGTCATTGGATTTAGGGTAAAAGTTAAGTGAAAAAAAGACTAAATTCCTTCACATTGATTCCTTTTTGCAAATCCAATCCGTTTTCTACATTTATTCAACGTCATCACATTGAATTTCTTTGTTGAAATAACGTGGAAACAACGTTGATTCAACCACTGTTTTGCCCAGTGGGTTCTCTCTCTGGTTGCTCTCTGTTCTGCTCTATGTGTGTGTGTCATAAGGGTTCTGAAAGATGTGCAATCTGCCACAGTAGGGATTTTAGTTGTGGAATAAACCACTTCTGTGATGGAAGTTACTCTGACCTGCTTGCTTTATTTAACGTGTCTTCCTTCTTTCTTTGTGTCTCTCATTTCTCCATCTCAGTCGTTAACACTCACCATTAGCTACATAACATTCAGTGTACATTCTGCATTTTAATAAATGTATCTCATTGTGTCTCTACACATTCGCCCTGCCAAACCAATCTGCATTATTCTGCCTCATACATTCTCTACTACAGCCAGAACTCTCTCAACCATCCTCCTACATACATACATTATGACTTTATACATCCCTTAATCTCGCCATCCCAGAGCTTTGCTCCAAACATTGTGGCAATAACATTGTGGCAATAACAAGGAAAGCCAAAGTGCCAAAGGTTGGGCCTAAGGGAATTTCATACAGAATGTTTTTTCAGGACTCTTTTGTTGAAGATGTAAAAAAATGATGTTGGTCTGATGTGTATGACGACGTGAATCCAGATGCATCACTGGAAGTATTTGTAAAATTATTAATATCTTATTGTTGACAAGCATGTGTAACCGGTGTGAAATGGCTAGCTAGTTAGAGGTGCGCGCTAGTAGCGTTTCAATCGGTGACGTCACTCGCTCCGAGACCTTGAAGTAGTTGTTTCCCTTGCTCTGCAAGGGACGTGGATTTTGTGGATCGATAGGTAACGATGCTTCGAGGGTGACTGTTGTCAATGTGTGCAGAGGGTCCCTGGTTCAAGCCCAGGTTGGGGCGAGGAGAGGGACGGAAGCAATGCTGTTACTTTGTTCTGCAGTGTCAAGTGGAAACATAACCACCCTTTTTACACATGCACCTGTTAAGAAATGATCAGTGAGAACTATTAAATCCCCTTGGATTGATGATGAATTGAAAAAAAATGTTATGGTTAGAATACGTTTGCAAAAGAGTTGGCAAACAAGTCAGGCTGCTCAGGTGATTGGTTGACATACTGTAAATTGAGAAATATTGTGACTAAACTTAACAAAAATAAGAAATTATATTACCAAACCAAAATAAATGACATAAGACACATTGGAAATCCAATTCATCTCCATCATTCATTGAAGGTGGTGGGCCATTTATAACCTTTCTATATTGCCAATAATTTCAAGTGGAAAAACTCAGAAGTGAAATGACAACATTGAAAAGTGAACCAACATATTTTTGTATAAAAGGTCTAAAAATGAAAGAAAATGATTTCTGTTTTGGTCAAGTTAGTGTGGGAGAGGTGAACAAACTATTGTTATCCATCAATAATGATAAGCCACCAGGTATAGACAACTATTGAGAATGGTAGCAGACTGTATTGCCACCCCTATGTGGTATATATTTAACCAAAGCCTAAATGAGTGTGTGTGTCCACAGGCGTGGAAGTAAGCAATTCCACTTCCTAAAAATAGTAAAGTACCCTTTGCTGGCTCTAACAGCCGCCCAATCAGTTTGCTGCCTGTTCTTAGTAAACTGATGGAGAGAATTGTGTTTGACCAAATACAATGCTATTTTTCAGATAAAAATATTTTCAACATGCATATAGAAAAGGGCACTCAACTTGTACTGCACTGACTCAGATGACTGATGATTGGTTAAAATAAATGGATAATAAGATAATAGTTGGAGCTGTATTGTTAGATTTCAGTGCAGCCTTTGATGTTATTGATCATAAATTGTTATTGAAGAAATTCACTTGCTATGGCTTTATATCACCTGCCATCACATGGTTGGAGAGTTATTTATCAAATAGAACCCAGAGAGAGTGTTCTTCAATGGAAGCTTCTCTAACATCAGGTATGTACAGTGCGGTGTCCCTCAGGGCAGTTGCCTTGGGCCGTTACTCTTCTCTATTCTTTACACCAAGCTAGAATGACTATGAATGCGGATGATTCCACACCAGTGGAGGCTGGTGAGGGGAGGACAGCTCATAATAATGAATGGAATGGAGTGTATGGAATGGTATCAAACACATAGAAAACAAGGTGTTTGATGTGTTTGAGACCATTTCATTTATTCCCCATTTTAAGTACCACCAGCCATCACGGTTCCATACTCTACATGTCAGCACCCAAAGCCAGTGAGCTCACTGAAATTCTAAATAAGGAGCTACAGTCAGTATCAGAATGGGTGATTAATAATAAACTGGTCTTAAATGAATCTAAAAACTAAAAGCATTGTATTTAGTTCCAAACATTCTCTAAGACCTAAACCTCAACTGGAGTTGTGCATAAAGGGTGTGACCATTGAGCAATTCGAGGAAATTCAACTACTAGGTATAACATTGGATGGTCAATTATCATGGTCAAATCATATTGACAAAGTTGTTGTGAAGATGGGTAGGGGTATGTCTGTTATAAAAGTATATTTTGCGTGTCTGACACAAAAATCAACTGTACTAGTTGTTCAGGATCTGGTCTTGTCCCATCTTGATTACTGACCGGTAATATGGTAAAGTGCAGCACTCAATGCTATCTACTGCCTTGTAAATTGCTGTACATTCTGCTTATAGTACTTGGGCAACATTCACGATTATGAACATAGATATACACTGAGTATACAAAACATTAGGAACACCTGCTCTTTCCATGACAAATACTGACCAAGTGAATCCAGGTGAAAGCTATGATCCCTTAATGATGTCACCTCTTAAATCCACTTCAATCAGTGTAGATGAACGGGAGGAGACAGGTTAAGAAGGATTTTAAAGCCTTAAGACAATTGAGACATGAATTGTGTATATATGCCGTTCAGAGGGTGAATGGGCAAGACAACATTTTTAATTGCTTTTGAATGGGGTATGGTAGTAGGTGCCAGACGCACCGGTTTGAGTGTGTCAAGAACTGCAACGCTGTTGAGTTTTTCACGCTCAACAGTTTCACAAATGATCGACCACCCTAAGGACATCCAGCATTCCTGTGGAACGCTTTCGACATCTTGTAAAGTCCATGCCCAGATGAATTGAGGCTGTTCTGAGGGCAAAAGGGGGTGCAACTCAGTATTAGGAAGGTGTTCCTAATGTTTTGTACACTCAGTGTATATTGGACATGGTCTTCCGAGCATAACTGTTACATAACTGTGATCCACTTTGCATCCTCATCAATCAATCAATCAAATGTATTTTATAAAGCCCTTTTTGCATCACAAAGTGCTTATACAGATACCCCAAAGAGCAAGCAATACAGATGTAGAAGCACAGTTGCTAGCAAAAACTCTTTAGAAAGGCAGAAACCTAGGAAGAAACCTAGAGAGGAACCAGGCTCCGAGGGGTGGCCAGCCCTCTTCTGGCTGTGCCGGGTGGAGATTATAAGAGTGCATGGCCATTAAGGCCAGATCACTCTTAAAGATGAATCATTCTTCAAACCTTCATAGATGACCAGCAGGGTGAAATATAATCACATTGTGACCATACTAGATCATACTAGTAATCATACTAGAGAAATTAAGTCCATTTAGCTAATGTACAGTATTCATCACAACTGATGTACCACCATCACAAAGAATCAGCAACATTTAGATTGATTACTGAGTGTCTGTTTTTTAAGAATAGTTGTGTGTAGTGGAGTGTTTGAGCATTGATTTCTTTTGAAAAGCAGACATCTGACTCTGGTGTCAATACTTCTATCTTATGCCCTGATAGGAAATCCAAAATATCTTTATTAAACAAATGATTGGAAGCTAGCCTGGGATGGTGGTTAGCTAGGCCAAATATCAGACATCTTTGTAGGGAAAATTGGCAATAACAAGCCCAATGAAACAGCACATCAACTTTAAAAACATCAGACTGACTTCAATCTGCATCAATCTTTTACTGCTCTCCAAATTAATAGAGATAAAGATTACTGATGTGTGTGATGTGTATGATGAAAATTGTGTATGATATAATTTCACTATTCATTATTAAATGAGACTTGCCATATGGCATCTAGTGCTCTTCTAGACACGTCTTCATGTTGCTCTAATAAGCCATGATGGTAAATTGGCCCCTAGTCTTCTGTTATTGTAATGTGTTTTTTGAGACGTACTATACTGATGTTATGTGTCTGAAATTGTATTACGAGTGCAGCATTGCATTTATAAGGCTATCATCACTAAAAATAGAATTTTCTTGTTGTTGTGCACGTTACTCTGGCTAGTTGAACGTTACACAGGCTAGTTTTGTCTCAGCTACAGTATTGTATGTCATACCTACATAAGCATGCGGTGTAAGTAGAATGTACAATATGACATGCATTTCTAGCATGCAGTTGGAAAAGCGGTGCTGTTTTCATGCTTTCTACTGACAGATAACCTAATGTCACTGTGTCCAACTGTACTCTTAAATATTATCAACCTTCTGATCTAAGGCCATACATAGTGAGATAGAGAGTGAAGCTCTGTGTGTGAACAGGGTTGTTTCAGATTCACATGTCCTCTTAGAGGAAGTTCACATTCACAACTGATAGTGATAATCGAAACGCAGTACAAACAGCACAGCACCCATAGTGATATGAAATCCATTATCCAATACATACAGTACACCTCAGTATCAGGTCTCTGTTAGTGTTCTGTCGCTATCGTTTTGAAGTCAATGTCGGGATATGTTTATGTAACCGGTCCCAGCTCTAGAATGAAGAGGGATATGTTGTTCACTGTGTTTCAGGCAAGAGCAGGAAGACATCTCGCTCCATCCACTCCTCTGCGGGCCTCCAGTCCCCAGACTACCCCACCCTTCCCATGACCCAGTCCACTGAGGCACTGCAGCAGAGCAAGATGGAGCGCACAGTCAACTTCACCAAGCACTTCTTCCTCAAGCCCACCTTGAGGGGCTTCAGCATGCTGGGGCTGAGGAAGGGCCCCCGCCAGACCCCCATGCCGGCCAGTCTCAGCTGTGAGGACCTGGACGGGCCACCGGAGGCCACCGGCCCCCAGGCCTGGAAGAGATCTCACTCCCTGGGGGACCTCCACTGGGAACAGGCCTTCGACCAGAAGAAGGACCAGGAGGCCAAGCCCGCTAATGGTGGCTCCAAGTTGGGCACCAGCAGCCCGGTGAAGGGCCTTCAGGCTCATGGAGATGGGGGTTCACCACCGGCTCAGAATTGGGGGAGTGCTGTGAGCCCTAAATGGCATTCTGACCTCCCCCCTGTACCCTCCCAGCTGCCCCTCAGACCACCCTGTCCCATCGCCTTGCTCCCCCAGCCCCAGGAGAGCCTGCCCAACCCGATCTCCAGCCCTCCTGAACCCCAGCTGGGGGAGAGGAGCATCCGGACTCACCCCAAAAAGCCCCCAGTGCCCCCTCCTGTTCCAATCAAGAAGTCCAAGGAGCGCCTAGCCAATGGGATGCGCCACCCCTCTCTTGTCCTCTCCTCCCCCACTCATTCCTATACCTCCACCCCCACAAACTCTCATCCCCCCAGCCCTGTCATCAGCAACCCCAGTCCCAGGGCTCCAGCCCTCCCCAGTAAGGCCTCTAGTACCCCTGCCTCCCCCTCTCCAGCCAGCCCTACTCCAGCCTCCCCTGCCTCCACCGCCACTGCCTCTCCAGAGCCAGAGGAACCAGGCACCCCCCCAGCCGTGCCCCCTCCCTGGCTGTCTGACCTGCCCGAGTCGGCCTGCCCTCAGGCTCAGATCCAGGGGGGTGGTGGCAAGATGACGGTGGCCAGGAAGGTGTCCCATGTTAAGACGGCCGTTGATCTCCACAATGTGCTGGAGCAGAGACTGGAGGCCGAGGGCATTGACCTCACAGAGGAACCCTACTCAGACAAGGTCAGTTACCACCACAACCTGCTACCATGATTATGTACCTGTTATTACTGTGTAGAATACACACACACACCCATCCACCACCTCCTAAATCTCACTCACACTCGCTCAAGGTGTGAGTGAGATTGGGGGGGTTATATAGCACACACATGGATGTGGGTATGCTTCATTATATGTTCATTATAGTATATTTTGTTCTCTAGAGTGCATTAAAAATATGCATTTTGGATGGTGTCCGTATTGATCATGTCCGTGCTTATAAATATCTGGGCATTAGATATTTGTCAATCAGAAGGATAGATGAAAAGCTGTCTTTGAAAAGGCATATTGATGAGTTAGTTAAGAAGCTGAGAATGAAAATGGCCTTCTGCTATAGAAATAGATCCTGCCTCTCGCTAAATAGTAGAAAGCCGATTATTCCATTGACGTTCCTATCGGTCCAAGACTATGGCGACATCATCTATATGAACACAGCTGCCACTTCATTAAAGCCGTTAGATGCAGTTTATCATAGCGCACTGCACTTTATTATGGGTGACAGTTTTAGTACTCATTACTGCATTCTCTACCAGAAAGTTGGTTGGTCCTCTTTGATGTCACGTAGGTTGATACATTGCTATGCTTTCATGTATAACGCCCTTTTACAAAATTCCCACTGTAACTAACATCATTAATAAACTTTAGACTTATGAGTTACCACACCCAGTCTCAGGGATGGCTAACTCTGGAAATTCCTTTGGTCTCTACTGAGTTAGGTAAATCAGCTTTTAGTTTTCTTGCACCTATTTTGTGGAACAATCGTCAAAATGTTCTTAGATTTGATGTTTTGGTGCTTCTAGGGAAATTCAGAAAGCTGATTGAGGACCTTATTACTGATTAATGTGTTTGTTTTTTATGACCGTATTTTTCTTTCTGCTTGCATCTTGTATTTATATTTAGATTTTCTGTCATTTCTGTAATTCAGGGCTCATCTGTTAAAGAGACATTGTTCTCAGTATGACTCCCTGATAAAATAAAGGTTAAATAAATAAATAAAATGTAGATAATCTTACACCCGTACAAATGAAAGAAAGCACTTTAATAAACGGTGCAGATTGGGTCACAAGTGATGAGGACTTTCCCACTAACTCTGTGTGAGAAAGTACATTATAAGTCAGAAAAGGAGTCCAGTAAATGAGGTCAATAAATACATTATTAGAAGCGTTATGTTGTGTTTTTGTCTCCTGGCCGTCAAGGCCTTTTGATTCTGTGTTGTAATGTGCATTAGGCTACTGGACTCAGACATAACCAGACTGGACCCTGTATCCTGTCAAATGGCACCCGCTTCCTGCCAACAATAGCAGTGGACCATACGGGGGGGGAGGGAGGGAGGGAGGGAGAGGGAGAGGGAGAGGGAGAGGGAGAGGGAGAGGGAGGGAGAGAGAGAGAGAGAGAGAGAGAGAGAGAGAGAGAGAGAGAGAGAGAGAGAGAGAGACACTAACAGCTTGACAATGACAGGGGAAAATCTTCTGTGGGCAGACGAGTGATAGCCTGTTAAGTTTACGGGGCTGAAACTCAGTGAAGGCAGGCGGGTTGAGGTTATTAAACACTCATACACCATGCCAGAGCCCGAGTTGTGCACACACACACAAACACACACACACCGAGCCCTGCTCTTTAATATGGAGCTCCATCTCTGCCAGGTTAACCACAGACAGGCTCTGAGGCTGGGCTGGGCTGGGCTGGGGCCGGGGTGAGAAATACACTACATGACCAAAAGTATGTGGACACTTGCTCGTCGTACAGGCCTGGCTCGCATTCGGCATTCCAATTAATCCCAATGAATCGCTTTGTGCACGGGGGCATTGTCATGCTGAAACAGGAAAGGGCTTTCCCCAAACTGTTGCCACAAAGTTGAAAGCACAGAATCGTCTACAATGTCATTGTATGCTGTAGCGTTAAGATTTCCCTTCACTGGAACTAAGGGGCCTAGCCCGAACCTTGAAAAACAGTCCCAGACCATTATTCCTCCTCCACCAAACTTTACAGTTGGCACTATGCATTGGGGCAGGTAGCGTTCTCCTGGCATCCGCCAAATCCAGATTTGTCCGTCGGACTGCCAGATGGTGAAGCATGATTTATCACTCCAGAGAACGCGTTTCCACTACTCTAGAGTCTAATGGAGGTGAGCTTTACACCACTCCAGCTGATGCTTGGCATTCCACATGGTGATCTTAGGCTGGTGTGTGGCTGCTCGGCCATGGAAACCCATTTCATTTTCATGTGCAAATTTTTTTTACGCGGAGTGGGAGAGCCAAACTCCGGCGTGCTCCGACTCCTACCAATTCACCCGGGAGCTACGCAAGGTGTTCGACACCTCTCGGGTGGTGTCGGGGCACGAGGCTAGGAGGCGGCTCGCGGCCTGTCGACAGGGTGACCGTTCGGTGGCGGACTACTCTGTGGAGTTCCGGACCCGGGCTCGAGAGGCACCCCTGGCTGGTCGCCTTCAAACCCCGGATAGACTGGTCCACGGGGAGGCTCATCCTGGAGGGAGGCTCCGCCCCCATCCTGTTCCGGTCTCCACCGACCACTCATCAGCCCAAACCACCGTCCCAGACCACCTACCAGTCCTCACCTCTTCCCCAGGTCCCGCACTCCAAATCGCCACCTGGGTCTATCTGTTCACCTGTGTATTTATGCCCTCACTTCCCTGTGTTCACTTCCCTGTGTTCCCTTGCTCAGTTTTCTCTGCTAGTTTCTTGTGTCAAGCAGTACGAATCAGTGTCTGATCACGAGACGGTACTTGAGAAGTGTTCTCCCTGTTCCATTGTTGTTTTCAGTCAGCCTGTTTTTGGAGACCAATTTGCGCCTCCTTTATTTTTACGTGATAAGTCCGTTATTTTGTATCCTGGCTTTGGGACCACCAGTAAAGATCCTTGTTTCACCATCTTTGCTTACTGCCTACTATCCTGCACCGCACCTGGGTCACACCTCACATCAACCCTTACAAATGAGGATTAATGCTGCAGTGCAGTGTCACTCTCCGAACACTAGGGGTGTAGTGTTGGGAGTAGGGCTATGCTAGGGTCAGACAGGACACTTGGCTGTGTCCACATCAACATACACCCCTGCATCTCTCTATTCCTCCACTCTAGGTGGCCTCCGGTCCAGTTTGGCTGGGTTGTCCTGGACTGGCTGGAGACTGGCTGGACACTAACCATGACTCCAGGGGTCTGGAGCGTTTTGAGAGAGATGTTTTCAAAGTTTTTCCCCACAGAATTCCCTTGTATTCTCTCTTCATGCATAGTAATCAACCATTGGCTAGTCTAATCTACTTATGACATGTTATGGGATCTCCCGCATCATTTGTGTGTCTCTGTCTCTCTCCTTTTTGAGACAGTTTTCTTAAAACATTACTCTCCCTCAGCGGTCTATCCTTTAAATATGAATTTATCTCCCAGCCAATGGGCTCGTCAGTTTGCCAGTGTTTTGACTCGTTATTTCACATTATTAGTCTGCTTCATTCTCTCATAAACAGACAGAAACTGGGCCTCTCCAGCCTCATAATGTTCAAATTAGCAAATAAAAAAATAAGTAGGAGCTAGCTCCTACTTCATCCCTAGTCTCTGAGCTGTTCTAAAACATGCGGTTCTTGTAGAGGTTTAGGTTGACTGTAGTCAATAAATGTGCAGAGTAGGGTTTTGGTCTCACTGCATCTTGTGTTTTGGTCTATGACTTTATGGTCTTGACAGGGGCTAACAGATATATTTATTGAAACGGAGAGAGAGAACGAAGTCACTATGGTTTCTGATTGGCTTGTCTTATCTGGGCCTATACAGGAGAGATTCCCCTGTTTCTTTCAAATATGGATTTAATGTTTCCCTGCGTAGCAACCCAGATGTACTCCAGGTTTACTCCAGGTCATGGTTACTTAGAGTTTTCATGGTTTGGGGTTTTAGTAGATAAGTGTGAGTTGTTGTGCCCCCAGGTAGAGGGTCTCTCTTTCTCCATCAGTATGGTGGCAATGAAAACCACATCTCCCAATGTGCATGAGTTTCCATGCCAATATGTTTTGAGTGTGTTTGCATGTGCGCACGTTTGTGTGTGTGTGTGTGTGTGTGTGTGTGTATACGTGTGTCTGTGTGTCACTATCCTCACTCATCCCCAGTTTCTCTCCCTCTGTCTCTCTCCATTTCTCCCTCCATCCAGCATGGAAGGTGTGGTATCCCCCAGCCCCTTGTGCAGCGCTACAGTGAAGACCTGGAGCAGCCAGTGAAAGATGTGGCCCGCGCCATAGACCAGGTTCGCGTCAAGCAGCTCCGCAAGCAGCACCGCATGGCTGTGAGTACTGTACTGCACCACTATCTGTCTGTCTGCTAGGCTTTATTGGACAGATTCAATAAGCATTTAGCTACATGGTCACCAGGGCAATGATGGGGCCTGTTATTTTCAGATGACACGTTTAAGGTGTCATTACTATGTTTTATGTATTATCATTTTTATTATAATTTATTATTACACAAAATTCCTGAATGTTTTTACCTGTATTCCTCAGATCCCGTTTGGAGGTTTAACAGAGATGTGCAGGAAGCCTCTCTCCCCGGGTCACATGAGCACCGTCTCTGATTGGCTGGTGTCCATCGGCCTGCCCATGTACGCCACGCCCCTGGAGAAGGCAGGATATGACACGTTGGGGCATGTGTCATCTCTCACGGAGAGCGGCGTGTGGGAGGCGGGGGTGCGGGACGAGAGGCATGCCCGTAGACTGGTCAGCGAAGCCCGATTGGTCAGCGCACCCAGAGACGCACAGTCGTAACTGTGACAGTGGAACCAATGCAGGTGAAACTAGGACAGTTGAACGGCTATGTCATGGCTGTCTGCTCAGTTGACAAAGTTGAGACTGAAGCACAGTTGCAAATAAATGCAGAACGGAATAACTGTGCAAGTGACCACGGCACAGCTTTCAACACCTATTGAGGATTTTGACTGGACGGGTTGTAGTTGCAGCCCAGTCCAAACCTGAGACTTAGGAGCAGAAAACCTGTTCTTATTCCCCCATGTCTTTATCGATCTATTTCTCTTTCTATTCCTCTCTTTCAGATGTTTACGGTGAGACTGTTCAGACTGCCGTGAACAGTTATCAGATGCCTTTAAAACTGACTGTAGACTCTCTCTCTCTCTGAGTGGGACTGTTTCCATTCTGAAACATCCTCCCCAGTCTTATAACACAAGACTGAGACGTACTGCCTTTAAGGAAAATAGCACACTTTTTTTTGTAGTTTGACTTTTTATAAAGGTATAAAAGACGGTTTATCAATGTTTTGACCTGTGTTTAATAAGTGCTTAATTTTAATCTCTTGTGCGAGACAAAAGCACTGGAGCATAATAAGAATATGTAGCTTGGCCAAAGCAATTTCTTTCAATGTGCGTTTCACCTTTGTTGTTAATCCCATTGCCAAATGCTATAGCAAGACTTTGGAGAATGGGTTTTCTTGCAGTTAATCAACTAAAACATAACACAAAACATGAAATAAGTAAACAATGCTGTTGTATTGGGATTTCAAATCCTTATTTTCTATCATACTATAGTGTTTTTGTAATATACCGTACCATATATTCTAATTTCAAGGTGTTTTTACAGTATGTGTTCAATAAGTATTTGTTTGTCTGCTTTGTGGAATGTCAAGGTCTGAAATGTCTTCAGGCCATCTCAGTTAATGTAAGAGACAGTCAGACAGATGTCGACATCAGTTTATATTGCAGATTTCAAAACATATCTTGGTTGCATGTATTCCTCCAATATGTAGGTCCTTACAGCAAGGCTCTCTACACAGTACCGCTCTAATAATCTTCCATGGGAGATCAGCTTTTCTTTGCAGACAATATCTTCTCCATATATCTAAACAAGCTCATTTTAAGTTGCCTTACCATTATGTAAAGAAAACAGTTAGATAAATATCTATTCATGTACTCAGCATTATAAATTGGCATTTCAACCCCTATCTACATTCTCTTTGACTAAGGCTTGATTGTGTCAAAGCCTCACCAGGCCTATATGTTTTGAATGTGCAAAGGCTTGTAATGACGGTGATTGTTAGTAGCAGACACACACACACACACACACACACACACACACACACACACACACACACACACACACACACACACGATTAGCTGCCGGCAGATGTATGAGATCAAAGTGATAATTCTGTATGTACACACACACATTAGCAGCCACATAGCTCAATAGGTGTTTTTCTTGTTAAGCACATATGTTAATCCACAGGAAGTCTGATTTAAACAGTGTCCCATGTTCAACAGCCAGCCACAGCACCACGTTCTAAGAGAGAGACACAGTCAGGGAGGACAGATGATAATGGGAGATGGTCACCTCACCTCTGTAGGAATCTACTGAATCCCCATTCACTGAAAAAGCAGACCAGACCTGTGAGTCCCTTGTAGTGGATTCCTAGTCCAAGCTTGGTGTGAGTGGATCCACCCACGTAATGTCATTCTAGTTGTGTGAAGTACTTCATATTGCAAACAATTATCCCTAGCTCTCGGGTTTAAAAAAATAAAAGTTTGACACAGTGGTGTAACATAGGTGGATGCTTTTGCAGTGGACACTCGATAGAAGTTTGATGCCTTTTCTCTTCAATCATAGTGGTGCTTCAGGTTTGTACTGGTAGGGGGAGTTTTTCAAGAAACAAAAATACCTAACATTGAAGATGTTTTTTGTAAAGAAAAAATATTGTCACTGTAAAATGCACTTTAGAAAGTAAATTATAAAATACACGCAAAATTAGTAAAGTTGTCTTTAAGTCCATAAGCAGAATTTGTTTTCAGGTAAGGTAAAGGGTTTGAATGGGTTATACTGGTATATAGTTTTCTTAGTATTGAGTTCCCAATGCCAAGTCAATGTACAAATGTAATTAATAATCATTCATGAATTAACCTGTTCCAATGACTTAACTTCCAATTTGTTTTTGCAGTCTTACAAAAAATCGTAATTACATAAATGAAATGATTAACAAGAGTTGCACATTCTTTATATGTAATTTGGTATTTAAATAACTTATTTTTGGGGCTTTTCATATCAACTGTAATAATTAGCTGTACTATACAAATAGCAATACCTTCCTGCATATTGCTTTAGTTAGTGAAAAGCTACAGTGTGTATTGTAAAATATAAGTGTACAAATGATTTTATTTGGTTTCAACTAGCTAATGATTGTCTATAAAGATTTGCTTGTGTATTGAAACAAAAAAATTGTCAAACTATTTGTCATTCTGAAATATAATAAAAACTCTTTCTTGCCACCCTGTGTCTGTATACACTTACACTTACACACACACACACACACACACACACACACCTCTTCTGTCTGATGTGAGGTGTGGGCAGTAAGTTATTGGACTGTTTCCCTACTGTGCACCACATGTTATCCGCTGCTCGCAGAATTTCTTCATTATATTAAACTTCATTTTATGTGTGGATAATATGTCTCAGAATACAATAACAGGTAATACATTACCAGACTGGATTTGATTAAAACTCTGGATCCTACACGGGCTCAGTCTGTTGAATAAGAACAGAGGCTGATTTCATTTCTCTGCAGCTTGAAGAGGGAAGAAAACTGATTTACTTTTGACCTGCCTGGCATCGATGTCTGACTGGCGCAATGGGTTCATGCCCTCTCCAGAAGTTTCAGATATTTTTTTTATAACCCAACCCTGATCTGTACTTCTCCACAACTTTGTCCCTGACCTGTTTGGAGAGCTCCTTAGTCTTGGTGGTGCCGCTTGCTTGGTGGTGCCCCTTGCTTAGTGGTGTTGCAGACTCTAGGGCTTTTCAGAACAGGTGTATATATATATATACTGATATCATGTGACACTTAGATTGCACACAGGTGGACTTTATTTAACTAATTATGTGACTTCTGAAGGTAATTGGTTGCACCAGATCTTATTTAGGGGCTTCATAGCAAAGGGGGTGAATAGATATGCAATGCACCACTTTTCCGTTATTTATTTTTGAGAATTTTTAGAAACAAGTTATTTTTTCCATTTCATGTCACCAATTTGGACTATTTTGTGTATGTCCATTACATGAAATCCAAATTAAAATCAATTTAAATTACAGGTTGTAATGCAACAAAATAGGAAAAACGCCAAGAGGGATGAATACTTTTGGCAAGGCACTTTAGCTTCCAACCAGGGGTTTGAAATAAAATACATTCTGTTGTGTCTGGTTGTGCCTGGTTTGGAACGACACAGTGCCCGTCTCTCTCAATGCGTAATAAAGGAAAGCACACAGGTTCCAGAACACATTTACTCTTTATACTCATAGACATAGAATGAGATTATATATCTGTGTTTATACCCATGGCTTTGGTTAGAATGTTTCACATAGAGACCATTGCTATGACTACAATACAGCTGCTACCACTAAAAGTGAGTTAATTTCCTGCAATTCTACACATTTTGACATGATTTATGCCATGTTAATATTATATCTGAGTGAGATTGACTAACAAAATCAATACGGGCCCCCTGGAGGTCAGGGCCCCTGGACAAGTGCTCTTCGTGCCCAATCTGTAATTTGGCCGTGATTACTACAAGTTTGGATAGCTGGGTAGACTAATTTACCAATCTCAAAATGTTTTGCTCACGTGGGCTAATTGAGTGACCTTCAGTGACTGCACTCTAAAAAATGCTGGGTTAAAAACAATATTGTACAGAACACACGCTGGGTTATTTTGACCCAGCCAGTTGGGTTGAGTGAATAACCCAACATGTTGGGTTGTTTGGATTACCCAAACATAGGTTAATTTAACCATGATTTTATTGTTTAACCATCAGTTGGGTTGACCCAGCAGTTGGGTCTTTTTTAATGTAATCCATAGGGTATTTTCAGGAGGCGTGGCCTATTAGGGGTGTGGCTCTAATATAATTATTTTTGGCACCCTGTAAGAGTAAATGTCCTTCCGATTCATCGTGTTAAGTTTGTACACTGCAAATTTCATTTTTCCTTCAATATCTTTGCACATTACATATTCTAATATGTACCGGAGACCCATGAGGCGGAGCACAATTGGCCCAGCGTCGTCCGGGTTAGGGGAGGGTTTGGCCGGCCGGGATGTCCTTGTCCCATCATGCTCTAGCAACTCCTTGCGGCGGGCCGGGCGCAGGCAAGCTGACTTCGGTTGCCAGTTCACATCGATGGGGCTGTAGTGGAGCGGGTCGAGAGCTTCAAGTTCCTTGGTGTCCACATCACCAACAAACTATCATGGTCCAAACACACCAAGACAGCCGTGAAGAGGGCACGACAACACCTTTTCCCCCTCAGGAGACTGAAAAGATTTGGCATGGTCCCCAGATCCTCAAAAAGTTCTACAGCTGCACCATCGAGAGCATCCTGACCGGTTGCATCACCGCCTGGTATGGCAACTGCTCGGCATCCGACCGTAAGGCGCTACAGAGGGTAGTGCGTACGGCCCAGTACATCACTTGGGCCAAGCTTCCTGCCATCCAGGACCTATATACTAGGCGGTGTCAGAGGAAGGCCCAAAAAATGGTCAAAGACTCCAGTCATCCAAGTCATAGACTGTTCTCTCTGCTACCACACGGCAAGTGGTACCGGAGCGCTTCTACCCCCAAGCCATAAGACTGCTGAACAATTAATCAAATGGCCACCCGGACTATTTACATTGACCCCCCCTTTGTTTTTACACTGCTGCTACTCGCTGTTTATAATCTGTACATAGTCACTTTACCCCTACCTACATGTACAAAGTACCTCGACTAACATGTACC